TGCACTACAGAATACTACATAACAACAACTAACACATTAAATGGTCCTTGAAGCCAGAAAGCCCCTTTAAGGTTTGGACACAGTATACATCTAAATCTGTGGTATCGACTGGCCTTGTTTGTGTAATTCACTCAAGTCTGCTCAGATCAGATTTGTCTGCGTCAGCCGAACAGCAGCACAGATGTTGAGCAGGAATGGCTTTAGTTTCTGCAGGATATGAAGGAAGTCAGTGTTGATGGAGTGATCTGATTAAGTTTGTCATTTGAAAGTGAGTTCCTCTGTTGAGACCACTGAAAATGGATAGCATCCAAGCTCTGAAAGCAAGTGCTGCGTCGTGCTCCAATGCATCGCGCCGTGTTGTTTTAGCACTATAATGTACCCCTCTGATCAGCAAAAACACATCAAGCTAAGAGCCTGCTTAACTTAAACAGCCTGCCCCCTCCAATGCGACCTACATTTTTAAGTGCGCTCAGGAACGGCTGGAAGAACTCCGCCATCCTTCATCCGTTCCACAGGATATCAGCTTATGCAAGCTCGTTATTATCAAATAACACTGATGTATTGGCTGGCATGTGCCAAGTCTTTGGGCCGCAACCTCCATTTCTCATATCCATTTCCTATCACTGTTATTAAAAAGGTTTCTGGACACCTATCACGGGGGAGTAAAGGTATTAACCCCTGTTTCTTGGCTCAACTCCAGCCACAGGACGTACTAACATACTGACCACTCGTTCACCCCCTGAAGCTGTATCAATCACAGTTATGTACTGGACGTCCTTTGGCTTAGCTTTTCACATTGGCTGGAATATGTCTCAAGATCTTAGTGTGTCATCACTGGACTGGATAAGCTTAAAATCGCTGAAAGATCATGGGACGAGGGACGAGGGACGCACTCGGTTAACCAGTCAAGGTGACAGCATTTGAATACTGAAATCAACACGGGAAGCAAAAGTGCAGCTGGCTCTGCCGCAGCTTTTTGCTAACTAGGCTAACTACCCTAGCTGATGTTAGCACATGCACATAGCGATGCACATAGCTAACATGTTTTGTGATTGTTGAGGACTAAAATGCTTAATTTTGCAGCGACATTTTTCAAAATTGGTGGGAGAAATTTTTGACCATTTTTTTGGTTGGGGGGCCGTGTTGCAGTGTAGACATCTGAGTCTGATATTTATTTAACTTGTTTCAAATGTAGCCTAGTTAGTTTAAACTAAAAGGAAATTTAGGGTACATCTTAGCCTTCTCTTCAGCTAAAATGTTTGTTGGTAAATGTGAACCGTCATCCATGGCTTCATACTCGTAAGCGACTTCTGCCTTAACATGGCAGAACTGCCTACTTTGACAGGAAAGGGACGTTTGACTGACATGCAAAATAACCAACAACAGACTGGTATTTTAATGTGACGTGTGAGAATATGTCGCTTAAAATAAAACATTTTTTCATTTTTTTCCCAATTTTTTCAGTCCAGCCCATATTGCTATAAAAGGCACAGTCACAGCACAGAGTGGACAACTGCTTGCCAAAAGCATGGAGGAGCGTTCACACAGACGCACAGATCAGATCAGAAAGAAACCGACAAAATCAAGACAGTTGTAGCCAGCTTAGCTTAGCTTAGCTTAGATGCTCCATTGACATAGCAGAACATAACATAGAAGCTGCACGCTTCCTTCCAAAAGCACTTCACAGATTTGCATGTTTAGCCCAGAAATAACTTTAACTAACTAAAATTGTGAGCTCTGGCAAAAGAGGTTGAATTTTTCAATTTTTGAAATTGAACATCTGACTAATTAGAGCAGGGTGTCAAACTCAACCACTAAATGGGCCATGTAAAAAATCTCAACAAATCTGTGGGCCAGAAAAAAAAGTATTTATTTTATTTTTAACTAATGTTGTGCTATAAGCTGAACTGGCCATCGTTCATTCAAAATATGCAAAAAATTTAGCTGTAAAATATAGGCACTTGTATTCAACCTTATATATATTATATATTACATTAATCCTTGAAATATTCACAATTTAAATGTCCTCAGGAGCTCAGCCTTTGAAACCTGCCTATTTGCTTGAACTAGGCACCTGGGATCCTTGCTTTGCTGCAAATTTATTAATACTTGGGCTCCATTTCTGAGCTGATGTTCAGTGTTTATGTTGGTTGAACTGCAGCTGATATGCAGCTAGTGTGTTTGGTGATATGACTGGTGTGGTAATGCGTAGAACTGAGGTGTAACCGCTGTCCCACAGACTGTTGTTGGGGTAGGAGAGTCAGATTGACAATTACGTTGCAGTGCATGCTGGGGACTGTAGTGCCGCACATTGTGAAACGAACTAATATTAATAGAAAATTAAAATAAATTTGCGGCTGGATAGGATAGTGTCTGCCTTGTGTTTGACACATCAGAGTTAGCATTAGCTCATTAGCTCCTCTTAAGACACGCTAACACGTCCAACATGAAAACCTTTTAAGAATAATTAAACTTGTTTTCAAATTTTAACGTCCAGTGCTATCACATGAATTTTTCAACCGACATCCTTTTTTTCTTTTTATCGTTGCTTTTTCCTTCCTTCCTTGCAGTTGACTGGATATCTGTTAATTACATCACACATCAAAATTAGATTGCACATCCCTGCTTGGGACAGCAGGTGTAGATGTTTGAAATGGATCAGCAATCTGGGCAAAAGTGTTGCGTTTTGCATCTCAGTGCTACGACGCACTGAATCAGTCTACCATCTCATCCACAATGAAGACAACAGGTGATGCAGCTGCACAGAAAAGCTCTGCACAGCTCATTCAAAACCAACACGGCATCAGCTGCACAAATTGCGCAGGCTGTCTGAATAGGCAGATGGGACAAAGGGTGGTTGTTAAACCGTTCTCCACTAGACGCAAGTGCTTTAATTCGTTTTGGTCTTTCAGACTTTACTCCTCGGTACAACAAAATAAGCCCTTTCCATTTGATTTCATTATTGCTGCATCAGAATATAGAGTAACTTGCTGAGAAGAATGCGGCCTGGTTAATGGAAAAAAAAGGCTGACAGGCTTTGGGCTGCAATATTACCAAGCTCATCTCTTTTTTTTTCCCCTCCTCCCTGTCTACTGTTGTATTTATGAGAAACTCCAACATTTTTCTGTTGGCATGGGTCTCTTGTTCTGTGTGGTGGAAGCTTGCATATCTTCAAAGCACTTTCACCCACTCTAAGATTATCTGCAAGTGCAAATGCCTGGTGTACTCGGCGATGATAACAATAGCAAACTTTGTACTTCAAAGTAATCTCAGATTCTATTTATTGAAAAGGTTCCTACACGCAAGAGCACGCTTCTCCCAGAAATGCTTCCCAGCAGGATGGTGCAATATACATCTTTGTCGTGATCTTTGATTGCGTGCGGCTGGTATGGAACTTGCGGCACGGAACAGAACGCGGTCCAAAACCAATCATATCACTGTGACCACTGTTGTCACGTGTGCGTTCCTGTCGAAATGTGAGCCAAGTGATTGCGCTGCTGATAGGGTTTCCACTGCATGCGGAGCTATTAATAACAATCACCCGAACACCTGCATTTTCTGACACTTCTGAGCCTGTTTGTATGTGGGTTGTGTATTTTTTTGGTCTTCTCGTGTGGTCATGGTCTCCATAATGCTCGGAGAGAGCCTGATTCCGAGAGATTTCGACTCATCCCATGACTTGGTGTATTTGGAAAGGCATTTTGTCCACAATGCGTAGTCGTGTGATTCACCTTCCCACAGCAAATCAATGTGTAAAATTGAGCCCCATAATTTGGTGTCTGTGCTGCTTCTCCCATTGGTTCAGTGGGTTTCAGTGCTGGACTCCCCCTGCTGAGGCGCCAGTGCCACCATGTGGCCATCTCTCCATCAGTGGCAGGCTCTCACACTGTCCTACGAGCAACTGGCCAGCCATAACAGGTGCAACAATAGTCGAATACCCATGTTTGGCGCTGCAATCTGTTATGGAGAGCAGGATCTTGCCCGAGTTGCGTGCAAATACAAATCAATATTTTTCTGTAGGGTAAAATGATACATCACAAAGCGACATCTTGTAAACATGTCTGGAGGGAGGATTTATGGATCTGTGCGAGTTGCCATAGAAACCTATGACTTCTAAGCAAATCATTTCCAGTGATTAAATATGCATGATTTAATTAAAGTCACATTTGAAATCTAAACAAGTTCAATTTCCCTACATTTTAATTATTCTAATCAAATTCCCATTGAAGTGCAATGATTACTGGAGCCATTTCATCAGCAAAATGGGAGCGGTTCGAAAATAAACTATTTCCATTTTTGACTGCTTCGGAGTATTAAAGATCCGCAATCGTTAATCAAGTCGTAAAGGCGGGGAAGGCGAATAATGAAAAGCAGAATGAGAGCATGGCTAAAATGAATGTGTTTCCCTGCGACAGTGGTACTGAAGCCATTCTGCGTGAAGCATTGCCCAGAAAATGCGAATCAGTCGCACGCTGGGCGCCGAATTAGGGTGCGCTTCCACTGTACTCCATGAGCGGCATTCTGTACACATGAATTGTGGGGAACAGCTTGCGAGTGGGCATGGCGAAAAAAAGTGCTGATGCAATTCAGATAGGGCCCAGCAGCTCCTCTAATCGCTTTCGTCCTTTACTGTCGCCGTGCATTCGCGCACCGCGCAAGTGTTTTTGAGTGTGTGTTTGTCTGGTAAGCAACAAGCACAGCATGGTGGAAGTGACTGTGGCCTAAGCGAAGGCCCGACAGCTCCGGGGCCATCCATCCCCACTTACAGCAAACACCTCAGGATTCCGCCACCTAATTGAAAGTGCAGCTTTTAAAAAACAGAGATTTAATAAACTAAACATCAAAAGCAGGGCCATTTTTCACCAAAGCACCTCCAGGGAGAGGCAGCCAAATTCATTAGAGGCCCATTCCGCTTAAGCAACCCAGATGACAAACTGTTTCACAATGTTTTTTTTCCTGTTATGTAATGGAGAAGGTACTAAGAATAACCCGACCCCATCTTTTCCACTTTCTACCTTCTTTATTTTCCTTCACGCAAGGCTCTGGATCACTGCAGAAGACTCGGACAATGTCCTCGTTGAAAAATTACATCTATGTTTTAGTAACTTTCATTATTCCATGGCACGCGTAACAGATTAATCCCTTAAACTGTAAAGACCAGTTGGTGGGTCCAGTCTTCAGTTCCTCACCCTTGTAACTACATGCTTTATATAGCAGATACTGAAAGGGCCCATATCTTACATTTGTTGTGAGCTCCATTAACATTTGTGGTTTTATGCACCAAAAACTTTTATTTAATTTTTACACAACATCAATCTCTTTATCCCTTGCAATTAAACAGGCTGTTCTTGTAACACTGCCTATAAGAATGACTTGAAAATGTGCTCTGGCTGTCCTGTGTGGTGTCTCATTCACACTCATACACATTCACATTACATTACTTATAACTTGTATTACAGATTGGTGGAGCTACACTGCTCAGTGCTAGGTCGATACATGTAAATGTTTTGGTTTGGGTGACATCATAGAAATAGTGAATTCAAAATGGGCTGTTTTTGTAGTTTAGTTTCCATATGTGGATCGAACAGTGTTAACACACTATATCAAACTTCCAGTAAATCAAGGGAAAGTCAGTTTTCGGTGATATGGGCCCTTCAAGATTAGGTGAATAACAAGCCTAGAGTTTAAGGGGTTAATCCTGTTGCTGTTGTGCTGGAAAAGGACGGCTCACAAAAGGCTCATTTACTTCCTCCTGGATGGAGTTGGGGACTTCACGCCTCGGCCTGGAGCGGGGGATTTGGGGGCCTGGGGTGGGGCTGGAGACTTGGCAGTGGTGGGGGTGGGGCTAGAGGGCTTGGCGGCAGTGGGGATTACGATGGGTTGGGTTGGAGGCATGATCCTCTTGGGTGAGGGTGAAGGGCTTGATGTCTGGGATCTTGTCTCCGTGCTTGTAGACGCTGACCACGATGTCCACGGACTCACCGCCGTACTTGTTCAGCACGGACATGGTGAACTTGCCAGAGTCCTCCAGGGTCACGCCCTTGATGGTGAGGCTAGCAAACTTGCCCGAGTCCAGCGAGATCACGTACTGGTCGCCGGGCTCCACCTCCTGGTCGCTCTTGTACCAGGTCACCTGTGGCTTGGGGTCACCGCACACTGTGCAGGTCAGGCTCAGGGTCTGCAGGATAGCAAAGCAGAGAGTAGACTATAGTTGTGCATTGTTCTCCTGCAAGATGTCCTCAAAGGATAAGGCAGTATTTTCAAACCAAATCACTTTTTATCGCATCTGTGGCAGGCTGTCGTTCATCCCCAGAAACTCATTTCAGATTTGGGTCTGCATTAAAGTAATTTACCGCAACAGTGACTTTTCTCACTGTTCCTCGGTGAAACAACCTCAGACGAAAACAGAGCCTTAGAAGATGCTAAATTTGTTTCAAACTGCAAAAACATCAGGCTTGGCAATCCATATCTTAAGATGGTGCTCATATGTCGTAATTCTCTTCTAAGTGTCTTTCCCTCTAAATCAATTTTCTGTATGGCACAGTGCTATACTTTGCAACAGACTTTGCAATAACATAATCCTACACTCATTTCTCCTTAAATGGACAGCCTGAAGTATTCATAAATATACACATCATCTGAGCTCGGCAGCTTTATAACTTAAATGTAAAGTCTATTACTCCTTATATTGTTCTGCCATTCAGTCCAGAGGTGTTATTCCTTCTTCTTTTATTTGCATATATATACTGTATAAAAGTGACCTTGGTCCAGTTTCCTCAAAGGCAAAGGATTTAGCTGTTCAATATTTCTAAAGCCTCACAGTAAACTTTCTACACTTCAACTTGTGTTCAGAATAACACATAAAAACAAGGTTGCTCACATGGACTGAGTAGAGATGTGGACTTAATAGAATAACGCATCTGTTTCAGTGCTATAAAAAAGTACCATCTACCGCACTCTCTAGCCTTAAGGGAGCTCTCATCAGAGAATCTCTCAATGTGAAAGCAAAGGTCCTGGATGGTCAGCTCCTTGCCTTTTAATGGGACCTGTGAGCCACGGACCTACCGCATTCACTGGATCTGAAAGAGAGAAAAGACGCTGGGCATTTTCCACTGCCGGCCATTCAGGCGGATCACAAACCCGCCAATATTCCTCCCGAAGCTGAATAGATGACATTCCCGCAGTCGCCTCCCTGCTGCTCCCCAACAGTGGATTATGAGGCTGGAGACAATGCAGGGAGGCTCTAGAGCGGTAGAGGAGGAATACCAAGCCCTCCAGCACACTCTCTCCTTGCAGAAAGAGAGGAGATGATCCTCTGCCCGGCCCACAGACCATTCAAAGTCGCTCCATAAAGAGGCCCTGTGGCATCCCGGATCACTAATGCAACAGCATCAGCACCACAGGGCCAACTTAATGGGCTGCAAAATGCAAGCGAACACAATTCGCCCATACCTAGTAATAGACTTTCATTCCAATGATGTTTTTCTCCAAAACCCTAAATGATCCCAGGGCCCAAAATGAGGTTTGTACATTTTCGTAATGTTTACGTTACACCACACTCATACTGAGGTGAAGTCAAACCTTCTTTTCCATGATGGTCACAACATCCGGCAGGCCACCGACCACTTTGCCGCGATCTGCGAAGGAAAACATCACACCCCAGTCAGGCTGAAGGATATAATTATATCAATAAAAGACCCCACCAAGCGCCTGAGACTTGAATGAGCATACTCACTCTTTTCAGCATATGCTTCCGCTCTGAAAGGCAAGAGAAGAATGGCGTTGTTAGTGGGCTCATTAGCGCACGCTAATATTTTACCCACACGCTGACATGCGGCACACATGCTCTGCATTGCTAAACATTTGGGAGGACCAAACAGCCTCCGAAGCAGTGATTATCTTACTTGAGTCTCTGGAACTCTGCATAGGCATTCTCATAGACTAGAAAGGGGGAGAGAAAAGACAAGAAGATAAAAGTTAAGTGAGAGACTAGAAAGAAAAACTATTTGCCGGCCCTAGCCCCTGCTTTCTTCTCACATCCTGAAGGGATGGTATATATATTTATTTATATCAAATAAAAAAGTTCAAATCTCATTATTTTAATAGCTTTGTTTTTGTGTTGCAGGGCACCGCACTCCTTCCTCCTACTAATTACTGCCTCTGCTCGACAGACCGCATGACCTGTCAGACACCACACAGGCTTTCAGTTCTGTTTGCTGTCAAACAGTTTGTTGACTAACTGCTGCCAAAGCCAGGATCTGCACCTTTTGATACTTCTGTTGCCGCTATTTCATCCCTGGACTTGCCCGATTATGCGGCCTGTGTGCGCAGCTGCGGCGCTGGCCTTTTCTTTCAACTGCAAATCCGGGCAAGGCCCAACACAGGGACATCCATAGGAGGCATTTTGCAGAGGCGAAAAGGCTCATAGCCGCCCGATGAAGATGATTTAAAAAATGAGGGATTCCTGAGTAGAGAAGATCTGTTCTGCAGGATTCATGAGCAAAACAACTTGGAAATAAATAAATAAATAAATAAATATGCCATCTTCTGAGTAGCTTAGAGCTGTGATTGGCTGCATTTGGTTAATGTTGTGGTTTGAAGGGATTTGGAACCCTGTAAGGGTGTTGTTATGATTATTCAGAGGTCAAAGAGTGTGTCCAATTAAAACCTTTCACTTGAGTTTGGTTTTAATTGGCCTTTTTAGTCTTTGCCAAGAAGACAGCCACTGAGAGGCACTGTTAATGTTCAGCTTTTTTTGCAAATCATCTTAAAATCGGGATTTTAAAGGATTAAGAAACAAAGGAATTAAGGGGGAACACTCTGTTTCAGAACAAGCTTCGCTTACCTTGTCCAGAGAGTTCGAGGGTGCGAGTGTACGACTTTTCATTGTCCGTCAATTCAAAGGTGTACACGCCCTTATCCTTTTCAGTGGGTTCCACTATCTCCAGGCTGGCCATGGCTGGAGTTCCACCAACACGCATTCTTTCAGAAGCTGTGACTTTAGTATCCCTGTTAAATATGATGAGCAAGTTGATATGTTGCAGCAAATATCTAATAATGAAGTCCCACAGGTATGTATTATTGTACATTACATGAGACATTAGAAAATAGTAGTTTATGTGTTTGTCTACTGAGCAGTTTGAGTTCCCAGTCATAAGGAGCAATTTGCCTGGTATCTTACATGCTGCGGTCAGTGGGTGCATAAGTAATTGCCATAAGAAATCCTCGCAGCATTAATGCCTGCTCTGTGCACATTTCTCAGCGTGCATCGGAGGGCTGGAAAGACCCGCAACAGCCACTTCAAAATGTTAATGCAGGGATTAGAAGACCCACGTGCACGGAACAAAAGTGGCTGAATTAGCCTACACATGAGAAGACGAGCTAGCACAACTGCCGGAAGAAGCTTTGCCTGCTGAGTTAGTATTCTGCACGCTACCCAATCACCCCCAGGGCCGGAGCATTAGGTAACTGTAAATCTGATAGATTTGTTTTGTATTGACAGTCGCACAGAAAGCGCGGCCGTCTCTTGTCACTTGGCCCGGGTAATTTCCCGTAGTTCAATAATCGTTTTCTGGCGGCGCACACTAAAACGACACAATTATAGACAAAAATCTCCAAATCGTGTTTACATGCAGAGCTGCTGTCACGCTTGGGGGCGTGAGAGAGCATGTGTATTTCATTTCCATGGGTATTTCCACCACAACATTTCTAGGAATTCTCTTCACCAGAAGGAAAAAGTGTGCATACCTGTGCGTCCAGGTGATCTTCATCTCGTCTGTATAGTATTTCATATGGCACTGGATCATAATACCCTCAGAGGTGCAGTGAATCACCAAATCTGCAGCACTGGGCCCTGTTTGAGAAAGAGAGAAAGATTCACCAAACTTAGGATGGGCTGCAGGTTTCTCTGTCACAGAATATGTCAGCCCCTGTTTGGGGTGCAACTAGGGAGGTTTCCAGTAGAGTAACTGGTGATTGGTTTGGGAAAAGGGGATTAAAGCTGGGATTTGGAAGGAGGAGGTGGACACGTTATACTCCCATAAGCCAAAAATGCTGCTAATGAGTGGCTCACAGCGACCAAAAAAAACAGGAAGCAAAACCACGCTGTGCTGTTATCTCCATAGTGTTTTTGACTCATCAGCTATAATGCATGGGCTATTGAGTTATTGGAACATCACTGTTTATCAGCGGGCCTAAAAGCAAGTAGCAAGTTTCACATCATTCAAATCATGAATCATGCATTTATGACAACAGCCAAGTACGGGATATGAAGGAAGAGTAGCTAACGTACAGTACTTGTGTACAATGTATTGATAATGAATTAAAGAATCATCCTCATTTGCATTCTAGGAGTTTGTAGGCTTGACACTGAGCAAAACTACCTCAGGAGCAGAAGCAGTTTTCCATCATGCCTCAGCAGTCCCTCTGCAGCAACACTAAAGATGATATGTGGGAAACCATAAAAGACTTAATAATCTGAGTTCTGATTCTGCTTAAGATAGACACCCAGTCTTTGTATTTATTGAAGGGGAGTGAAATCTGGGATCGATCTGAGATTGATCGGTGAATGCTGACCAGCTTTAAAGAGGCAGGGCGAGCAGCATAGCATGCGGAAATGCTAATCCTTCTATACGTACCAGCAACACGCGAGAGGTCGTTAATGATGTTGTCAAAGACTGTGGATGAGAGAAAAGGTGAGTTAAGGTCACTTTCTGAGACGCAAAAATGTGCTTTCTACAATGTTTTCACAATGTGAGTGCCATTACCTTTGCCAGAAATATCAACCTGAGACACGTCTTGTCCTCTGTCATCGCTGATAGTTGCTTTGTACACGCCCACACTCTTCTTGGAGAACTGGAGGCAGAATGCCAGGAAACAAATAAACACAGTGTTTTGCTGAAACAGTCCAGTTGAGTAGGTTTTCTGTGGGCTGCTCATTCAGCACAGCTCACTTATGGAGTATTATATGTTCTGCGCTTTTCAGTGGAACTTCGAGATTTCAATGAAGTGTTTAGGCAGCAGCGGCTGTGAGGCTGAGACCACCCACTACCAGCATTTTGAGTGCTTTGGTTTTTTCCTGAAGCACAAACTTCAGCTCATTATCTAATGGGAGCTTATGTCCTTGCAAAGGAAGTGAGTTTAGTTTATTTGGAAATGCGTCATTATGTAATTTTAAATTTATGGTAATACTGCGGAGTACCAAGTGTATATATCCATGATTCACATCTGATAAATGAACTGCTTGTTAGTTCTTAGCTAGTTCTCTCTGGCTTTTCACTTTTCCTCTGTAAAACTGAGAAAACGAAATAACATAAAGGTAATCTGTATGTTAGGAGGATTTGTAGCCATTGCAAGATGTGCCTACGTCAATAACTGCAGTTGGAAATTTGCACTTATACAGACTGTTGCAGTGAAGGTGACAATATTTTGCCTAGAGAACCTTTTTGGAGTGAAGTGAAGGAGAGGATATATTCAGGACCCATTATTTGGCTGTACTAGTAAACTGTCTAATGAAGGACATTCATTTTACTCTGGCTAAGACAATACAGTTTGCGAAATGGTAATGTGGGCTCGTATTATGAGGCCATATAATGCCATATTTTGAGCAGCGCCTTCTTAGATATGTATATGTAGTCACAGCAGTTTAAACACTGTTATTCTGATGCCAGACATTCTTTCAGCACAGGTTTGAAACTCATGCCTCCATCTAACTGCTGTGTCTGCTGGGATTCTAAAAGGAAGTCTCTTGGCAGCACATCTTTAAGAAATCCTGCAAATTTATGGCTGGTTTTAAAAGGCAGAGGTAAATCAATGTAAAACCGGCTGCCGCAAGTTGATCGAACTTTAGTATAGGGAGCAGAAGGGATGGGTAGTGATGGGAATACATGTAACAGCTTTACATAATCAGGATATAAAAAAGGTAACTGTAATCCGAAAAAGATATTAATCAGATTACAGGTACATTGTAAAAATAATGTGATTACCAGCAGGATTACATCTTTATTTAATTAAACATCTTTAATTAAAGACAAGTAATCCAATAGTAATGGAAAGTAATCAGATTACATTATTTTGATATAGTAATCCTTTGGATTAGGTGACAATTACATTTTAACAGGTAATCAGTAATCTGTAGTAGAATACATTTATAAAGTAACCCTCCCAAACCTGTGGAGCAGAATACATATTCAGCCACTTTGCTATTGTCTTCACTCACTTTTTTCATGATTCTCTCATGTTTTTGCCCGATCCTCACTAAAACGTGTACGTGTGAGGAAGAGAAGGGCTTGCATTTTACTATAAACTGCACGTTTTGGCTGGTGCACCAGTTTCATACATGACATGTGGGCAAAATGCATTCGATTTGTGGCTGAAACTGGCACAAAAAGATTAATACATCTGGCCCTCAGTGTCTAAAAGACCTCTAGGAACCTAAAGAACTAATGTGACACATCTGAAGAACAACCCGCTTAGGAGTCTGAATGCAGCATATTACGAACAAGTACTGCGCCCGTTGAGCCAAATGTAAATAGAAAAAAAAAGGTGGGGTATATTTATTCTGCCAACCACTGTGGCTTAAATGCCTGACTGATAAGGGTTTAGTTAAATCACTCCTTCATTAAAAATGTATTTCATACATAGCTGGCCAGTGTGTAAAGAGTATCTGCAGTTATTTATTTTGATAGTCAGTTATGGCTATTTCATGATAATTCTTTCAGTTCAGTTCTGCAGAAAGTGATCAACACATCAGTCAATCAATGGTATCCAATCTTTGGGTATCATCATCTGCTCTGGCAGGAAATATCAGCAGATATGTGGTTTTGTTATTATAAAACCATTGTGCATTTTTGCTTAAAATAACAAAAAACAGTAATAATTTATTTGGATAGTCCACTTTAGATGCTTTGTAGATACTTAATTTACTTCCAAGTTATATTCAACTAAATATCTACTAAATTGACCATAATTGTCTTTAACTCTAAACCTGGCTGTAATCCTAACCCTAACCTTAACCTCAACCCAAAACCTAAACCAAACCCTCACCCTGGTCCTAACCCTGGTCCAAATCCTAACCCTAACCCCACCACTGTTTAGAATCAACTGAATTTCAACAAACAGTTTGTTAACAATTCAAACATCTGTAGATGATCTATAGTGGACTATCCAAATAAAGTGAGACCCAAAAAACTGATTTATGAACCTGACTAAGGGTCCCAAAAACATCAACAATCCAGCAGGAATAATGAATCTTTCATTTACTCTGTACATCTACACCATGACACAAACCAACCACAGCAACCCCCCATACTTCCTTGTGTGTTACTGGCTAAGCCCAATAAAAACAAAGCTATTTTATTCCTGTGCTAGCTCAGTAGGGAGTGAAGGCGTGATCTCACCAGAGACAGCGGGAGTTTGCAGACTCCGGAGCTGAGGTCGGCGGGCACCTCGGGAATCACTTCTACATCATCCTTAAACCAGTGGAACACCGACTCCTTCTTCAAATTAGCCACCTGAGGGGAGGGGAGGACACACATCAGGCGGCGAGCATGCGATGATGGAGCAAGCAGGAAATATGGCCATGCCGCCAACGCCATCTGTCAGCCCTGTTCCTCCTGCGCCTCTGAACACCGAGTGACCACAGTGATCTCTTTATGACAGAGATGAATGAAGCCTGGCGCGTTACTTATTTGGATAGACGGTGGTGATAACCCGGGTCATTTGTTTCAGTTTGGCCGATCTAATTGCAGAAAGGACGAGTGTTACTTGACTTGCCTTGCAGATGAGGCTGACGCTGGCATCCTCCCCAATGTGGACCGACAGGAACTGGCTAAAATGAGGTCCTATAAAGAGGGAGATTAAATTAAAATCCCCAAATTAAAGGGATTATTCACCTGAAAATGATAATATAACCAGCAACGACTTAAAGCCATAGTGGTTTAAACAATTATCGTGGTCAGATCTGTGTAATGCTTAATGGAGCCTGGTGCCTTTAGTAATTTGAAATGTTTTAATTTTACCAGCTTTCCAACGTATATCCTCTGACTCACACGTCAAATTCATAAAAAGGGTAAACCTAAAGGGGGATTCCAGAGATTTTTTTACATTTCTGAACACATAAATAGTTTGTAATTTAGAGTGGTTTAGAGTGGTTTGATGTGAAATGCTCCATTCTAAAGAAGCATACCAGATCAGACTTTTTCACAGTGGTGGTGACAGGAACAAACTGGATGAAACATGATTATATACACTGTCTGATGTCGAATACATTGTTTTACAACAGTTTTGAGATAAGGCCTAAAACTAAAATGGTGGAGGGGTACATGAAGGATGTGGCAAGGCAAAATAGTACTAAAAGAAAACTTATTTTTTCAGATTTACCACTATTTTATCATCATTAACATTACATACAAAAACTCAGAAACACATACAGGTTCGCTGGTTGTTTTTAATAGTGCATAAAATGATTATATATGATTATATAAATGATTATTATATATTGTGACATCTCGTTCCTATCACAACCACCGTAAAGAAAGAGCTGGTAAGCTTCTCTACAATAAGCCATTTCACTGCAAATCTATCTGAATGACTGTGTACATTTTGATGTTTGAATTATGTGGAAAATTTCAAAAATTGGTGGAATTCCCCTTCAGACTGTAACTGTAAGAGCTTTGCTGTTTTCTGCTGTTGAGCAGCTTTTGTAACAGCTTTAACTGCACACTTAAAAACTAAGATTAATTTGTGTCACCAAATGGTAGGCCTACTACTGTTGCACAAAAAAGAAGCCAAATTATGCTCCAAATGTGTTATGACTAAATTATGTAGCAAACAATGATGAGGCATAAAGTAAGAGAGAAACAGCATGTGCGTTACTAAACCACAGATAGGTATTTGTTTTAGTGCTTGTTGCTTCTTTCAGCTTGCACTGATGCCCATGCAGAGTTCAGTACCCTCTTTCACACGGATGTACTCTCTCCTCTGGTATTCAGCTTCTGCTAGGGCTGCCTTGAAGGCTGAATGAAAATAAAAAAGGAGGCAGCATTAAGGGTTAGTGAGCCAAGCTTGGAAAAAGAACATTGTATCCCAGATGAAACTGGGATAACCCCCTAGCAGCGGCACTAGGCGGCTCACCATTTCCGATCAGCACCAGGGAGGACTGGGCCTTCGCTCTTCCATCCTGTATCTGCACAGCGTATGTCCCCTCGCTCTCCTCAGTGAAGTGATCCAACACCATCTCGATAACGCCTGTAGCTACGTCGTGACTCATCTTAGTTTGCTGGAGACAGAGGGGAAAAAAAAACAGAAAAACAAACAGTGAGGTAAATAGTTCTCTCTGGTGCTTTTGCTAGAGGCAGCTGCAATGGGTGGCGTTCGCTATTTATTTCTTTATTTTTATTTTGATCGAATTAAATCTGTTTTGTTGGATCTGTTATTACATTTCATTGCCAGAGCCGTTCAGGGTAGGTCTATGTGCACTTCAGGGTCAACGTGATACAAAACCTGAAGTGTTCTTGCAGAATGCACGTCGATTTACGTTGGTGTCACCAGTATGGCTGCAACTGTCAGTACCACTTTGCCTGACATTTGCTGCCTTACCTCACAGTTGACGAGTTCCTTGTTATTGGCAAAGAATTTGTAGGTCACGGCAGAGGAGATGCCCTCGGTTTGAAGCCAGAAGCGCACGCGACCTCTCTCCAGAATCTTGTATGCCAGCTCGGTCTTCAGAGGGATAACTGAGGCGGAAAGAGAGGTGGCCATGGTGACAGGGTGATCTTTTTTTTTTTGTGTGCTGTCATGGTTCACGCACATGACCTCAGAAACAGTACAAAACACAGACTCAGCTTGTTCCAAATTCTCAAAGGAATTAAGTGTGCTGATAAAAAACATGAGAGACAGAGGAAACGGTCAAAGCTCATGCCATAATCCCTGCCCTTAACTCATCTCTACTGTTGGGATACGTTTTTAGGCAGTGCCGTAATTAGTCAGTGCAAAAATAGCAAGACTGAAATAGTTTCTGTGGTCTGTTACTTACTCGGGTTGCGGATGTCGTAGCTCAGTGCCAGCATTTTCTCAAGCTCTGAAATGTGGGACAGAAGTACATTTGTATAGCTTTAGATGTTTAAGATCACTGTGCAAAGGAAATTATGCACTGATGAGATAAAATACATATGCTTTCATGAAACACACAAGAGCTTTCATAAAACGGCAACAATGAAAAATCCAGGTTGATCCAAAGACCTTATTTAAGATGGCAATAAGGCTCTGTACAGAATGTGTTTTAGTTATATGGCGCACATTTCTTGACAAGCTTACAGCACATATAAGAACTTATGAATTGCTTTACAAAAGGGCAAAGGATGCCAGAGGAATAATGGTTCCTCAGAGAGCTACAAAAATCTTTCATCTAAAAATATGCCTTTGCTAACTACTTATATGAAATGCATTTGACAGCGACTTTGCTGCTAGAAAATGCGACAATGTCGATGTCCTTGGCCTTTCAGATGATGTTATTTGTGCAGGTCAACATCTGTGTAAGTGATGTTGAGTGTTACTCTGCTTGGACTGCATTAATAAGTAAGCTGAGGATCATAAGATATTAACGGCACAATCCAGGATTTCGCAGTAACAAACTTCATAATACATTATACTTCCTTCATGATTATTTCATTACCAGGCCTCACCTTCTGCTCTGATCTTGTAACTGGCTGAAGCTCCATCAGTGTTTGTGACAGAGACTGAGAAAGTTCCTACATCTTCTTTATCTGGGTTCTTGAACAACAGAGTTGAGCTACACAAACATAAATAAGTAAACAACACAGTGCATTTAAGAGTAACACCTCAGAAACAAATGCAGCTCAAATTTCATGCTCAGAAGCGGTGCTGGGCAGGGCCTGACGAATGTGAAAATGTTAGACGGTCAATATAAGTTCATGTGGACTCCAGGAGCTTTAGCTAAACAGTGCTTTACTGACTGATCTGACTGTCAACCGTCAATACCAAATATGACTGTCAATTCTCAATTCTTACAATTCTTACACTCAAAGCAGAAACTCACAAAGTCATAAATAAAGGCTTAAACAATATAAATATTATAGCACTGAGTTTCCAAGCGTTCTTTATTTTTCTTTTACCCAATTTTTCCTCCCAACTTAGTCGTGGCCAATTCCTGCCCGTTAGCTAGGTCTCTTCCTATCACAGTGCTACCAAACTAGGAGGATGAAGCCACTGGATCCTTTTGAAGTAACCACTAACTCAACATCATTGCTTTGATCAGGCCTGAAATTTTTGTCCGAACTCGAATACAGTCTGAGAATTTTGTTCGACTCAACCCAAAAGGTCACAAACTTTCTCAGTCTGAACCCAATCTGAGCCCGACAAAATTCTGTCCAAACCTGACCACATCTAAACAATATAAGTTTTTAGTCCAAAACTGACCTGAGCTGAACAAAATTCTGACCTAAACCAGCCCATCATCACCCAAAGTGCAGAACCAAACCTGAAAGGATGCCATTGGTTACTGTGTGGCAACAATAATAGCCATCACTAGTTTCCGGAAAAATAAAATAAAAATAATCTAAAATAGTTATATATTTATAAAGATAACAATCAGCTGTCCAAAATTAAGTTTTAATTGCAATTTAACGAAAGTAGTGTTTTTAAACAACATCCTACACATTTTTAGTCTGGATAAACTTTACATGCCGCGCTGTGCGTTCCTGATGTAGCAGGATGCCAGCCTTTACCTGTTTATCTGTAACGCTCTATTTCTCTTTACATAGAAAATATTAGCCTACATATACAAATATATACTTTTGGCCAAAAAAAAATAAATATAAACTTCCTTTCAGATGCACTATCTGTCCTCTCCTGAATCGATTTGCGATTTATTTACCTGGCATCCGTTTTCTCACGAGCATGAGCCTCAATTTGCTAAATTTTGTCCACACACAGTAAGTGACTAACATGCTTTGATGAAAAACTGTTTTATGGTAACGAAGGTAGAGAGGAAGAATAAAGTAAGAAGAAAAACTAAAGCAGGGGGAAATACAGGGTAAAATCTGTTAAAAGTGGGAGGCGGTCTGCTAGAATCCATATGTGAAATTTGACCTGACCGGAGCATGACACACATTTCAGAAATGATGTCTGACGTAAGCAGTTGGCTCCCGATAAATATTTCAAGCTCTAATCAGTGGACAGCTTAAAACACTTGGAGAAGAACACTAACTGCTAATTCTGTTATGTCAGCTAACAGACGCCCACACTAGCTTGTATGCCATCCAGAGATAAAGAGGCCAGCTGAGCTCTCTTGGACTCTTTGCCATGGATGACTGTGGCATCATCAGGGATTGAACTCGCAATTACCCGAAAAACAGGGCCAACACTTATGTGATTGCTCCACTCTGGAACTCAAAGTGAGCCACATATAAGTAGTAATGCTTTACCGAAAACTTAGTATTAGCCACATTTATAGGTCAAACAATATATCGGTCGGGTCCTACTGATAACTTTCTTTGACTGCTTTGTTTTTATGCTTACCGGTTGCCTGATGTTTTAATGGAGATTCCTTTGGAGAAGTCAGTGATTTCTTGGTAGGACTTCTTCCACACGAACTGCGAGAACTCTGTCATCTGGCAGCTCTCAAAAGAGAGATAAATGTCGCCGGTCTGCTCATCCACTCCACATACGATTTCCTGGGCGCCTGCACACACAAGGCATGAGAAGAAGACGGCTTACACGTAGGCCAGCTGAAAATCCGACACTATGTAAAAGAGGTATGGAACAGCCATGTTGGATTTATGGTATGGATATGTCGGGATTATGGGTCAGTGTGCTTCCCACATCTGCCTCCAACGCAGGGGTTCATGCAAGGCTCTCACTGTTCTCCTCTGTGAGATGCTGCAATGTTCCCACACAGACAACCCCACAGTGCGCTCTGCTGGCGGAAGACTGAAGAACCTCCCTTTGCTCGACTATGAATGTTTTAGGGCTGCTCAAGACGAATCATCATCTCGTCTTGTCCGGCAGCTGGTTTTTTCTTATCGGCAGTCGGGCAGACAGCTGCTCCCTGTGCCACTTCAGAGCACCTCCCATAATGGCTCCTACACTGCAGAGCCCTCGCTCTCACTTTCTCTCTGTGACCCAACACGAGCATCTCTCAATTCAGCAATCTCTTTCACCATGTGCCCGAATCCTTCACTTCTCACTTAAAGTTTGCCTGTATCAACAGTAGCTAAAGTGTCTGTGTGTATTACCTGGCAGAGCCTTGGCACACACTGGGTCGGAGGGAGCTGAAGGCTTGCCAATGCCCTGGGCGTTCTCGGCTCGTACACGGAACACATAGGACGAGCCTGTCTCCAGGCCCTTCACCTGAGGATGAGCCATCATTAATGTTAATAAAGCCATTCAGTATGCCACAGTCCTGTACATTTGGCTCTGTGGTGCAATGTTGTAGACTCCACTGGAGAGTTTGTGGGTCTCTTTTTCACAGATGTTTTACCTTGAGGTAGCAGTGGTTGACAGCAGCTGTGCTGGCAGCTGTCCAGGTTTCGGTGCCCTTCTTGCACATGTCCACATGGTAACCCGTGATGCCGCTGGCACCTGTGTAGACAGGAGCCTTCCACTCCACCACCGCCGAGTCATCTCTGATCTCAGTGAAGCTCAGGTCATATGGTGGGCCTGGATAACACATGCATTTTTTAGTGCAATGTGTAAACCTGAAGGAATGCTTTTTTCATTTGCAGCAACTGTCAGAAATAACAAAAGCAAGTTGTAATTTAACATTTCTCACATGTAGCTATTGAAATTAGGGGTTATTCTTACAGACATGAGGAATACTGTGACCCAACTTCAAAATATTAAACTGACTACAGCTTAATGTTCTCTATTTTTTTGACTTTACAAACAATGATGTCTGCTTGAATGACTAAAAACAAGGAGTAAAATGGTCAGTAAACGACAGCTTTCCCTCCATGCTTGTGTTCTGACAAACCGAACTACTAAGTACACTCAGTTCACACTGTAAGTAACTGTGACAAATCAGGACGAGCCAGTGTTCCTATAACAAACGCCACTAAAGCTCAGCATGTTACATTACTATCATTAATGTGAGTCACTGGAATCTTCTAAACCACATCAGTTTTTTGTTAATTAGAAGCTGCTTTTACAGCTACTTCAAAAAACTATTTAACATTCAGCAGCTCGTCCTGTCACAGCATTAGCATTAGCATCACAGCATTCAATCCTCTGTCCATCCGATTCTTTGTATGTAAATGTAGCTATGCAAATTGGAAGGTAAATTGTTTTTATTAATATTATTCCTGATTTTTGTGACCTCTATAGAAGAGATTCCAAATTTCATTGTACCTGAGTATAAAGATTCGATTCTATTCTATTCTATTCTGTTCTATTGTAAGCATTACATACATTAGCAAGATAAATACATCAACTGATTAATTAGTTTAAAATACAACTCATTCTGTCATTCTACATTTCACATGAAAAAAATGCCATTCGCTCTTTCTGGAAACCTGTTCACACAGAGCTTGTTTAATGAACTAGCATGTTAAACTGGTTAAATGATGCTGCAGCCTGAAGAGCTATAATGCTAATCTAAATATGTATTACTGTATCACTTATTAGCTATTGGTTATTACTTACTGTAGCTCAAAATTATGTGCAAGCTCAAACAAAGTGCCACTTTTTTCTGTGGTAGTAATTTAGCTCTTGGTGAAGATTATCTCAGTTTGGCAGAACATTTTATTGTTGCACATCTTCACATTTACAGGCCACTTTTAAGCTGAATAACGGATTATTAGTAGATTCATTTACATGAATAATCGAATATCAAAATAAGCCTTTTTTGGCAGCCCTATATCTTTTATGGACAGGTTTGCCACTTTATGACATTGAAACAGACAGAAAGAGTTGATAAAGAATGTAAATGAGATGTAATTTATTATGCAGCTAACTATGTAAGCAATTATGTACCTGCAGAAATACATTTAGTACAGCAAAATGGCAATAATAACCCTAGATTTCTATAATGCATGTGTGGGTTTTTTCTTACCAGGCTCAGGCATGGTCCAGGCCTCACATTTGAATGGTGGGCTAACAACAGAGGCTTGACCCAGTCCCACCAAATTGGCACCATAAACCCTGAACTGATACACTGAGCCGGGGGTCAGATTAGGAACCTGGAGACACAAAGCATAAAAATCAGCCATCATCCCAAGCTTTGTAATAGAATGATAACATGCCTTTCAAAGCACCTCGACAAGTTATGTCTGCAATAACACTAACAAAGTCATGACATGGGTGGTGATTCTGCAACAACAACAATACCTTGTACAGCCTCTCCTTAATGGGTGGCACATTGACCTCCTTCCATGCTTTCTTGGCCACGTTGCACTTGTCAATGTAATAGTCAGTGACCTCTGCGCCTCCAGAGTGGGCGGGACGCTTCCAGTTGAGCACCATGGATTCCCCGTCGCAGTGGAGAAGAGCGATGTCATAGGGAGCGGAAGGGAGCTCTGTGGAGAAGATAGATGACTAGCACTGCGTCCCGCCATTACTCACTGTCCACAGCAGCAGGGAGCGCTCTGGGTGCGGCGGCTATCTCTGGCTTTTAATAAAGCCAATTCGTGGCCATTTATTGTCTGCCGCAGCTTATAATGTGAGAATGAATCACGGTGGATTTGATGCATTACATCTGCTGTTTGTTGCCAATTATGAATATGAATTTGAGCTAGAAGCAGAAGTTTAAATCAACATCCCAAAATTGGGGACCATAAGAGACTAAGCAAGTGTCTGTACCTCCTACACATGCTGATTTATAAAGCCTGTTTGTGCGACATCAGCTTTATTGTCTTCATAATATACACATATGGTTGTGCTGCAATGTTCAGTACACTTAAGCGAACAGCTTGCTTCAAACAGTGAAAGAACCAAACAAAATGAAACTACAACTGAACACTTTTAAGTGCACCTGAAGGGCAATTCCACCAATATTTCAAAATATCTCACTGCAAAAAATGATGTATTATCAAGTGAAAGGATATTAAATCTAGTTGATATATCTAATATTTCCCGTTTTGAGATGGTTGTGCACTTATTATAAGATTATCTAGCTTATGTCTAGACATTATTTACTTCTTTTAGGTGATCAGGTAAAATTATCTCACTATACTGGCAGATAATTTTGCTGGTTTCAAGCACATTTAAAACAAGCAAAATTATCTGCCAATATAGTGAGATAATTTTACTTAATAAACTCACTTAAAACAGATAAAGAATGTCTAAAAATAAGCTAAATAAGCTTAAAATAAGCTTACAGCAGTGCCACCAAGAGAAATTTGTTTATTGACTATATTTAAGATAACTTTACTTGACAAGAATGTGTGTGTGTGTGTGTGTGTGTGTGTTAAGCCAAAAGCTTCTTACCAAACCACTCTGAATTACTTTGTTTACATCTTAACGACTTAATTATGTTGAAATTTTTAAAAATTAGTGGAATTCCCCTTACGCCTTGCGAACACTTGACACCGCTAAAGGCTCCATGCAGTGATGCTGGCAACCATATGATGTGGATCAATCTCAGTCAGGGGGAGGTCTCTGAACAAACAATGTGGTGACTGGTTTGGTTTAGCAGCTGTACAAACCTCAAAGACATTGTTTTGCTTTAAATGTCTTTTTTTATTTGAAACACACCTTCTGTCTTAACTCTGCGCACTTTATCAGAGAATCAGCAAGTGCACATTCTTCCCCCCCAAAACAAGGACAGACAAAATTCAGGCTTTAAGATGGTTGCTTATGTTTTTAGCAGTGTGACACAATTATTGTGCAAAAGTCAAGAACAACCTGAATTTATTTAAACTTCTGTACTACATTTTTGTCAATAACAGTTTGTCATAATATTAGAAACCATGTAAGTTTATTTGATATAATTTGAAAATGTGATGTGGTTTGTGGCAACTGTGTTATGTTAGCTCCATAATAACTGGCAGGATATAAACTTCTATTACTTGTTAGCAACATTAGTCTGCTAGCATTAGTGCAAAACTAACAAAGACTCCAAACGTGTTTCGGGTGATGGTGCAAATTAGATTTTACGCTGAAATATCACTTCAAGCATATTTCAGCTGCATATTATCCAGACATTAAAGTCCCATAATTTGCTGCAACCAGTACAATGTACTGGGATTGTTTAGGGAGTATATCAACACTCAACAGTGCTGCCCAAAAAGTGCTCTATAAAGAGCATTCTATGAGGATTCAGTCCTCATCCTTGACAGCAAGCAAGCGTTCGCCCACAGCCTTTATACAGCCTGTAAAGTGCTTTGTGATCCACCATACTCCCCGAAAGATGTGCAGTCACATCTCTGTTATCCAGCCATTTGTGCAGGAAAGGTGTTTTAAAGATTTCATGGACTGCTCTTTGTAAAGTGCTCGGTTCCAGCAAAATGGCCTCTCTGCTCCAGTAAGCTGTGGTTTCTTTTGTTTTTAAGGGCATTAATGCGCAGCACTAGAAACGACGACGCTGTAGTTCTTTATATTTTTTTAGACTTCTAATAAATAACACCTGAACAGGTTTGGAGAGCATTTTCCACAGTACCGTTTATGTGTGGTACAAGATTAAACACCCAATTTTAACACTTGTGGACCTTTGCTGAATCCAAATGGATGTCTCCTGTCAGGTGCTGCGTTTCACACCAACCTGCTCTGGGAGTTGCAGACAAAAAAGTGCTTGGAACACAAGGAGAAACAGAAATTTCTTCAGCGGAAACTTTTCCTCCTGCTTACTACTGCTGTTTAACAAAACTCACAAACAGATGCCACTGTCTTTCAAATAGAGATGACTCTAATTTCGAACACTTCTTTCACCAATAATGAAACGCCTTAAAAGACAAATCTGTGAATGAAAAGCTGGAAGTTGTGATTTTTCATGTTCTTTTGTTCTTGTTTATGCTTGCCGTATCTCGATTGAATTGCGGTGAATAACTAGCACCTCCTGCTGCAACTGAAAGCGCACTTTTGGGAGAGCTGTCATGAAATATTTGTTTTTTGGAAGGAATGCACTGACAAATCTGATGCTTTGAAATCACTTGATGCAAACGGGTACATCACCACTAGGGATGCCAATTCTGGTAAATGACTTTGACAGCGAACCAACCGTCATTAGTCGGTGGTTAATCATTAACCGGGAAGCTTAAAATCAAAGACATGGGCCATCAAAACATCAGTAATAAAACTGAAACTTCCAGATCTAAAAGCTGACTGGCTAAGCTACGTTCAAAGGCGTTGTAATATACCTAATATGTGAATGTCTGTGAGTGCACACATCAACTGAATTCTATATAAATGCAGCAAGATATTAAAGTGTTTCTGGTATGCATAGTGGAATGCAGTGCCTAAGCTATTTGTGATGTGCAGTCAAAGTGTGACTGGGCACATGTAACAAAAATGAGCTGTGTTATTTTACCATCTGTATGAACATAGCAGCGTCAGACAGGATGTCTACAAAGCTCCATTACCTATCAGAAGCTGAAAAAAGACTGCTGACAGTGAAATGAGACAGTAAAGTGCAGGTAGCTACATGTTGTATTGCTCTCACCCTAACCCAAAGTTTTGCTTTGTATCCAAAGGAGGGTTAGCACATGGTGGAACACAGTACTGACAGATGGAATCAGGTACAAACCTGTATATGAAACAGCACAAAACAATATTAAACATACCCTATTTAAGAAACTGGTTTTGTTTAAACTGAGGGCCTCATGACTATAAATTTTTAGTGATTTTATGACTGAAAACCGAAAAGTTGATGAAATGGCTGGAATATAAACCGATTAGGCATAACATTATGACCACCTCCTTGTTTCTACGCTCATTGTCCATTTTATCAGCTTCACTTACTATATAGGTGCACTTTGTAGTTCTACAATTACAGACTGTAGTCCATCTGTTTCTCTGTATACTTTGTTAGCCCCCTTTTACCCTGTTCTTCAGTGGTCAGGACCCCCATGGACCCTCACAGAGCAGGTACTATTTGGATGGTGGACGATTCTCAGCACTGCAGTAACACTGACGTGGTGGTGGTGTGTTAGTGTTGCACTGGTCTGAGTGGATCAGACACAGCAGTGCTGCTGGAGTTTGTAAACACTGTGTCCACTCACTGTCCACTCTATTAGACACTCCTACCTTGTCAGTCCACCTTGTAGATGTAAAGTCAGAGACGACAGCTCATCTGCTGCTGCACAGTTTGTGTTGGTCATCCTCTAGCCCTTCATCAGCGGTCAAAGGATGCTGCCCACAGGACGCTGTTGGCTGGATATTTTTGGTTGGTGGACTATTCTCAGTCCAGCAGTGACACTGAGGTGTTTAAAAACTCCAGCAGCACTGCTGTGTCTGATCCACTCAGACCAGTGCAACACACACTAACACACCACCAACTCATCAGTGTTACTGCAGTGCTGAGAGTGATCCACCACCCAAATAGTACCTGCTCTGTGAGGGTCCATGGGGGTCCTGACCACTGAAGAACAGGGTAAAAGGGGGCTAACAAAGTACGCAGAGAAACAGATGGACTACAGTCTGTAACTGTGGAACTACAAAGTGCACCTATATAGTAAGTGAAGCTGATAAAATGGACAATGAGCGTAGAAACAAGGAGGTGGTCATAATGTTATGCCTGATCCATGTATAATGATGGGCTGCTGAAAGTTCTACATTCTAAAGTTATATTTGCCACTCATTACCAGCCTGAGATAAAACAAATATAAAGACCAAGACCAGGGCAGCTTCAGTTTAGTGAACCTCAGTGGCTCAAAAGTCGTCATCCACCATGTCCTTCTCTATAATTCTATGATATAATGTATGATTTCCTCACACCACTGTGCATCACACTTTCTCTGCTTTTGGATGTTTGCTTTCTATGTGGTAAATTCTTGCAGTTGTGCCATCATCCTTTAAAAAACACTAATTTTAAGCCTATCCAGCGGAACTAAATGCCTATTGCACACTCGTGTATGATTCATAAACTTGAATAGTAAACCTCCTTTTTCAAGTAGAATTTGTTGTTTGTTGGAAATGTGTTGTTTATTTGTTGGTTGGCAGTTAATCAGTTAATCATTTACGTTCCTAATTGCCACATAAATAAAGGTGTCATTTACGCATGCTGTTTACATGATGCTGATCGGTAATATATAAAGACAGTTTTGTCTTTAGGTTTACTTTTGGCAATAATATGTTGATGTGATGTAATTAGCGATGCACAGTGATATTGGAATCATATCAGCATCAGAAGATAATTGTAAAAATAAAAAATTGATGACGTTTATTTTACTCTGTATAAGAAGAATGCTGGGCTACTTTCTGCAATTGATTCTTTTTACTGCATCTGTAACCCGACAGCAATAAATGTTAGATTTATCGGCAATGCTAGTCCAGGTGGATTTAATACCAGTTTATACGTTTTTTTTAAATGTGTACATATATTGGCATTGGCAGAAATGTTCGTAAAAATTACTGGATTTTGGTACATCCCCAGATAAACTGTATCACTGTGTTTATGATGTACACACATGAATGAAGTGAATTCCATGCATCTCTTTTTTTCAGTGTAGTGAGCTGATCAGGGCCCAGTTTCCCAAAAGCATTTTAGTTTTAAGATCATTTTAACTGCTAAAAAGACTACAATTGTTGTACACTCTCTAACTGCTAGTGTGATAGCAGAGTGATAAGATGCTTTTGAGAAACCTGGGGCATTGCTGTTTATGAGATGTGGGTTGATACGTACTGAGAGCAGCTCTGACGGAGAGAGGTGCAGACTCCTGCGACTCATCACTGAGGCCCAGCTCATTGATGGCCTGTACACGGAATACATACGCCTCACCTGTGGTCAGGCCATGGACGACAAACCTGCAGGAACAAAAGCAGCTTGTTTGAGGCTGAATCCACACTGGGTCCTTATTCCCTACAAAGTCCAAAGCACTAGACAGGCTTTTGAATTCTAGGTGCTGCCCTAGATGACAAGTAAGGAATTTTTTTGGATTCCGGAATCCAGCGAAAGAGGATCTTTCACTGGGAGGCTGCATTACTCTCATGAAGACTCCCAAGTCATATCACCTGAGGTTCTGTTCTTTTTCTCGACAGATTCCTGTGATGCATGGGTCTGTTTACCAACCATTTGTAAACTGTGAATGATTTCCTCTATTTTTGAGGAATATTTTTGTCCCAGAATAGTTTCAAATCCTTATACAAAATGTAAAATAACACTAGGAGAGCAAGTGGAAACACAAAATATACTTTTAAACAATGATTTCATTTATGGAATAAAAAATTCTTGCAACGGTTTTATCACCGATATGAAAAAGTAACTGCCATCCTCTAAACTTAACAACTGGCTGTGCCAGCTTTAGCAACAACAACTCCAGCCAAACGCTTCCTATAACTGGAGATCAGTCTTTAACATTGCCCGATCTTCTCTCCAGAATTCGTCATTTTTAATTCAGACACATTGGAGGGCTTTCGAGCATGAGCTGCCCGTTTAACCCCTTTAAAAGCCAGGGCCCACTAGCAGCCCAAATGTTTATTACACAGTTCTATATTTTAAGAACAGCTCAACCAGTTTGCATTGAAGTCCATGAAGTTGCTGAAAGATAAGGTTTAGCGTGTAGTAAGTCTGAGATTTTAAAGGGTTAAGATCCACAATTTCTAAATGGGTCAATTCAGGACTTTGACTTGGCTACTCCAAAACCTTAATTGTGTTTCTTTTCAGTCATTCAGAGTAGTACTTGTTCTTGTGCTTCGGATCGTTGTCTGGCTGCAAATTTATCTGTATTTCAGCTTCAGATCACCAGGCCTATGACCAGACACTATCCTGCAGGATTTTCTGCTAGAAGGCAAAATGGTCATGGTTCTGTCAATTATGGCAACTGACCCTGAACACTACCCTGAACATTATTCTTGGGGTCATCAAGCTGTTGTTTGGCAAATTTGAGGCAAGCCTTTATGTTCCTTCTGGTAAGCAGACGTTTTCACCTTGCAATTATCCCATGGGTACCATTGTTGCCCAGTCTCTTTCTAATGGTGGAATCATTAATGCTGACCTTATCTGAGGTGAGTGAGGCCTGCAGTTCCTTAGATTTTCATCTGGGTTCTTTTTTGACTTCCTGGATGAGTCGTTGCTGTGCTCTTGGAGGAATTTTGGTTAGACGGCCACTTCTGGGAAGATTTACTCCTGTTCCAATTTTTCTCCATTTGGAGATGATGGCTCTCAATGTGGCTCACTAGAGTCCCAGAGCCTCAGAAATGGCTTTCTAACCATTTCCAGACTGACACTTTTCAATGACTTTCTTTGTCATCCGGAATTTCTTTTGAAACCTGCACAGTGTGCTGCTTCTTGAGACCTTGTACTACTTCACAGTACTAAGTGATCTAAGTGATGCTTAGGCTCAAGAGGGCTGGCAGTAATCAAGTCTGGCTGTGTATAGTTTAATTGATCCTAATTATCTAGATATGGCACGTACTTTGTCTTGTTGTGAGGCTTGTGGTTAGCAGAGGTCCAGTTCTTTGATCCTTTAACACATGAGTCGATGTAATACCCAATAAGGTTGTTGGGATCCTTCGGAGGAGCCCACTGGATCAAGACAGAAGTGTCAGTTTCTCTCGTGGCCACCACCTGACCGGGAGCTGACGGCACGCCTGGAGGAACAGAGAAAAGAGTCACGCAAGCCTGGTCAAATTTCCCAAAGACTTACACTACGTGTATTTGAACTGCTCAGAGAAGTTCAGATTAATTATTGATAACAACATCAAAGTTAAGCCTTGAGTAAAGCTTCAACTCAATGTAGCATTTCTGATCATTCAACAGGCCATTTATCCAGGGTAGGGAACCGCAGGTTTTACTGAGAGGGATATAAAACCAGAATTACAATAAGTTTATTGGCCACGTACATTATAAGGAATTAGTGCTAATGTAAGTAGACAAAGACTACACATAGTAAATGAATAAATAATAAACACCCACAAAAGACATTCCAAACTATGCATGCCTCTAATATGTAAACTCAGCATACAGAATTACAGTGTACAGAAAAACAAATCAGATGGGATATGACTGCAATAGGTGCAAATGTGCAAGAAATCTATTAAAGAATAGATTCTTGTATTCATTAATAGACTAATGGATGCTGCTCCATGTCATACATACAATAATAGCAATATAAGCGTATTGTGACATGACATGCTGTGCAAGATGTGCAAGACTTATTTATTATGCAATACTTGTACCATGCAAGACGTATTTTCACTTAAAAAAATTAAAATGTTATTTAACCAGGAGCCCAACCTTTTGCATTCGACTGTAGCCACATAACAATCATGTGTTATATTACTGGAAACGGTTTTCAGATTTAACAATATATCAAATTTTGGTAATACACAGGGTGATTCAAAAAGATTCATCCGATTTCAAAATGATTTATTTCACAATCAATACAGAACAATGAGGTAAACTGTAAATGGTTTAAGTGAGCATAAAGTTTATTATGTAATTTTTCAAGTGCTCAATATGAACCTCCTCCAGCTGTACGGACATCAACACCATAGTCAAATTCATCCCGTACTCGATTGAGCATGTCGGGTGTCGCTGCACTCACAGCTTTTTCAGTGTGATTTCGGAGATCATCCAGTGTTGTGGAACCAACGACGAACACTCTGAGCTGTTGGAGGTTCACTGCCCATGAAAATCACGATGCAGTTATGACGGATTCACTCTTATTGAAGTGGAGAACGCAGAACGCTTTCTGCTCAGGGGTCACCATCTCCTCTCAGACTAAAGGGAGCCATCTTCCGGTGACACTCAGAGACTCTATGACCCCCTCTTTCAATTGGTATGTGATTGGTTCCTAGGCGCCTCACGGTTGTAAAAATATGGCGCTTTGAAATCGGTTGAATCTTTTTGAATCACCCTGTATAATAACTGAACTTATTTCTCCCTGAATAGCTATTAAAGTAAAATAATTAAAAATAAAGTAAAAATAAAACGAGCTATAGCACTATTATTGATAACTAGCGAGTCTCACCTCTTAACATAGTTAACAAGCATTTTTTCCAGTTTTACTTCCTTACCACGCAGTTCCTGAGTTTTGATTGGTTTGGTGGGCTCAGAGGGTTCGCTGATGCCATACATGTTGGCAGAGAGAACGCGGAACAGGTACTCCTTCCCCTCAGCCAGGTCGAAGACTCCATAGCGTGGAGAACGGACCGGCACTTGCGTGTTCACTCTCTGCCAGGATCCGCTGCCAACCAGAGACTGAAAGGAGACATTGGAAAGTGTTCTATTACTTCACAGAGCCATATAAGCTGAGAAATAAGAAATGATTACGCTAATGTGGGCCTCTTAATTCACTGATTTAAACAGATGGGTAATTGTGCTGTCCTTAAAGTGATAATGTCCGCAATGAAAGTGATTTGATGACAGTTTGGTGAGCTTTCTGGGGGGGATAGTAAGTACCTGTTGGTAGGTCCAGATTTCCCATCCTCACTGTATTACTACATGACCTAATACATACAGTTGTTTGAAAAAGTTGCAAGTGCTCCTGGTCAAATTACACATTTTGTAAATTTTCTAAGCGAAAAAAGTTAACACTTCATCTACATACATATAACATATTACAGCTCTGTCGATAATGTGTTAAACATATTCTGCCAATTTTAATGCACAGTTTATTTTTTACTTATTTTAAGCATAGTTTATGTTAAACTCTGCTGATATCAGAAACTATGCACTTTTTTCAGAAAACATTGTTCCCTGTACAGGACGTGTTAACTTTGTGTTAACTTTGACCACAAGTGTTCACATTTTTGCATACAACTGTATAATGTGTATTACATATTGGTTACAATACAACACAGAATAAAAATTGATGTTTTCACAATAAAAAAAAGCATGGTGTAATTTTATATTAATTATTATTAAAGTTATTATTAATTATTATATTAATTATTATTTCTCACTGTTACCCCATTGAAACAAGTGGAGAAATTTTGTCCAAAATGCGGATTCTAAACTTTCAATCCACACCACATTTGTGCTCCTAAGTGATAACTCCTAAGGGGAAATATTTTAGATGTTTTGATTCAAAAACTTAAAAGTTCATTTGAAATTGATAAGTTATTGTTTTTGTCGTGTTGTGTTTTGTGAAGAGAAAAAAAAATCCTTAACATTTCTTACATGCATTTGTCAATTTTTAACACACAAAAAATCAGAAGTGCAGGCTGAAACCTGTTGATACGGAATGTACATTAAATGTAAATGTAATTCTTTATATAAACAGACACTTATTTGTCTAATTGTGCAATTACATATAAATAGTTCAGGAAAAATGCCAGTAACTGGTCTTTACTTCCCTGGGTCAATATGTGAAGTGATAAGCCTAGAGTTCAAGCTCAAAGGGAAACTGTGATTTTTTTAGGCCTTAGAGATGAATTGAGACCAACCTTTTCGATATAATACCACATGGGGGCTTTGCCATGGTAGACTGGGGGGCTCCAACTGAGCACAACATATGTTCGGTCAGTCTCTGAGGCGTAGACATTGGAGGGAGCTCCCGGAGCGTTTCCCTCAGCTGCAGCCAGAGTACATCAAACAGAATTACTGTCCTCACCAAACTGCATGTTTACGTTCATTCTCTCTCTCACACACACACACACACACACACACACACACATACGCAAACACCTCTAGGGAATGTCCTCCCAATGTCATCAGTTCTGCTTTCAAAGATACTAAAACAGCATTAGATTGAGTGCATCATCTGCACTATTGCTGTACACACCCGCAAACCCACACACACTCCTGACAGTGGTTGATGTGTTCATTTCAATGTGAAAAAGTGCCACAGATGGTTGGCCGTTCCTTTCCTGATGGAATTCTCATCAAAAACGAATCAGCACCTCACAGATGAGGGACAATTATGGGCCGTATAATTACTGCTATTTTCAAAAAACTAAACTGCGAAAAGAACAGTGAAGATCAACTGGAAAGTGAGGACCACTGGCATGTTTAATTGCATATACAAGAATTAATAAGGCTTTACTGTAGGGCAGTGTTAAAAAGGCTACATGACACCTACATAAGCCCTTCATGACGACCAGATCTGCCCATATAGGGGGTGGGGGAATGAAGAACGCTTTCAGGGTCCCTGCCACAAAGTGGGGGTGTGTGTGTGTGTGTGGGGGAGGGGGGCTAAAGGCTGAGCACTGACAGTTTTTTCCCGCAACACTCCTCAAGCAGAAAATATTAGGGATGCCGAAATTGTTATCAGAGCTATGATTGCAAAAAAAAGTTATTTCACCATAGTACAGTGTGATTAACTGCAAAACCAACCATTAATAAATGATACATTAAAGAACTTATTAAAGAACTTGAAATGGGGAGATGGGGGTGTATAGTTCTCAACAGCAGCCATGTTTACATGCAGCCTATAATCCGTTAATAATCTGACTAATATCTTAATCGGAACACAATGAGTCCATGTATACACCTCAGTCGGAATAGACTAGTCAGAGTGAGGTCATGTGGAGTACAATTTCTATCCGACTGAACGAAGTGGGTAATCCTGTAAATAATCCATTAAATAGTAGAATAATAACCATGTAAACGCCTGTATCTGATTACATTCCCAATCAGAAAATGTAAATATGTTCTGATTATGTGTGTCGCGTCATAGTGAAAGTTTATATCGTTCAATATGGCAGAGCAGAAACTGGTCTACAGAGAAAATTTATGCTCTGATCTTTAAAAGACGGCGATGGGACGGACGTCCAGCTTATGTGTCTCAGAACACGACGTCCTCCTCTCGGCCTTCTTTAATAAGGACATGTGAAGGACGTTTTCCTGAGTCTGACATCATTTTAAAGCAACTAAAACAATAGCGCTGCTCACTGCTGCTCATCTCACTCTGACTGGACTCACGTGATACTCATTGTCATGGTAACGTCTACACTAAGTGGTATTCTACACATGCGTGCGTGTAAACTGAGATTTTCCATGAGATTGTTCAGTAGAGCGAGCATATAAACACCTCAGTCTTATAATGTGTACATTCGGATTATGCCTTATAATAATGTATAATCAGAATATATTCAATCAGATTGGCAAAAATCTTTGCATGTAAGGGGGAACTAGCCAACAGAATATTTCAGGGACCCAGCCATGTCTTTGTGTAGGCCTAATGACAGCAGATACAGACCTACACAAACACTAAAGCATTAACAAAAAAAAAAAGTTTGCTTTTACTAACTTTAATGTCGGCTTGCATAACACCTGATGAATTTATGCTACGCAGCTAATATATTTATAAGACTGCAACTAAGATCAGAGAAATCACACTACCTTCAAGGTCATCGTGATAGGACACAACATCAAGTCTTCCGCCAAGTCTTGTGGCTGTTCAAATGAAAGGCAAGAGAGTAAATCCTATGTCTTAAGTCAGATATAAAGTAGTGATAGGCGAATACGATCCATACATATTTGATTTTTTTTACCATAAAGTCTTTCAAACTCAGTTGGGTCCAGTGCGGCAATAGGTTCGGACATCCTGGAGGGCCTGCTGATGCCATGTGAGTTGACAGCACGCACACGGAAGTAATAGGAGTGTCCCTCGAACAGTCCAGACACGGGGTACTTACAGATTTTGATGGGAGAATCGTTACACTGCACCCAGTTCTCTGTTCCAACCTCGCATCTGTCAGAGTTCAGATGAGCAATAAAAGGAAAAGGTTAGTATTTTTTTGAAAAGCAGGCAGATAACCAGCCAGTGTGTCCTATCATTACCTCTCTGTGTGATCTAAAAGACAGTGGAAATTACAGCCCACTTTTAACATCAGACTGAGATATGAGAAGAACAACCTGTACTCATAACTGTGTATCAAAGCTTTTCACCATCTGATTACGTGTTTAGCAGGGAAGATTTTCAGTTCTTGGAGCAGCACAGCCTCAAACTGTGCAGAAGAAAATAACCCTTGCTTTTATTACTATGCACAGGATTCAAGGAATAAGGAAATATGATGGCGTAAGCAAAATTGGTAAAGTCTATAAAGTTGCCTCAAAAGGAATGTTATTTAAAAACCTCATTGTTTTCTTCTTAGATTGTGGAATATTAACAATTAAAATGGCTGGACAGAAGGAATCCATTGAATCACATGCTTAGAAATATCTAGTGACATTTAAGCAAATGGTATAGATAAGGTCTCCAATGCACACACACACTGGTAATCAAGGACAGATAAAACCACCCAGCAGCAATTAGTTAAGATTCACATGATGGTAATCAGACATCTTAGCCAAATCAATCACCGATCAACAAAGTATCCAATGATGGGACCCTCAGTGGTGGTGTTGGGGGGCTTCCAGGACACGATAACGTAATCTCTGTTAGCATCATGGATCTTAATGTCCATAGGGGCTCCAGGGGCCAAAGGAACTGGTGGAGGACCATCTGTAAAAGAAGATGTATGAAGGGTGAAGTTCTACAATGTGCAGATGTGAACTGCTTAAACTTCAAACAGTTCAGTCAATTAAGGCCTAATCACACCAAGTACAAGGCGAAAAAACGCACACAGTGGGACCTTCACACCAAATCCAAGCCTTTTTTTGTATAAACACTTTGAGAAGCAGTGAGGATTAATTATTTTTCTTTCAAGACTCCAACATGGGGTTCCACTTCATACAAGAGCTGTATGACGAAGTTACTTTTGTATGTCATTGAGGAAGTTTGAGGCTCTGCTTCTGCTTCTTGCTCCTCTCGTTAAAAATCAGCAAGGAAAGCTTATAGTTTGCATTTCATTGTGGACATGAACAGACTGGGAAGCACCCAGATAAACTAAAATATGGCTTTATAGCTACTATAATATACTGATCACCATTCCCCAGCCTTTCAGCTCTTCAGTGGTCTGCCATATATTTTCTTTAACTTCTGCATTTTTATGGTCAGCTTGTCGTTTAAGCTTTTGTGCTCTGCTATGCGGTGCGTCCAGTGTGTGATGGCCTTCAGTGCAGCATTTGGACACTGGACTCAGCAGCAGCTTCTAATCCAACACAGCAGAGAAGACGATATTCAGGCATGAGCTAAAATGCAATTTTTATTAGTTTCATTTGTTGATAAGCTGCATTATACTTATAGTCTACATTGAGCCACTGTAGATAAGTAGATTAACTAAAAAAATAGCATAAACAATAACATAATTTTGCTGGACAAAGTATATGTATAGCTTATGTGTTGCACAAGTCAGTTCCATTTTTAAATCTAGCACTTTTAAATCTAGAATTTTTTATATTTGGTCACCAAAGTGAAGACTTTGAGGACTTAGGGGCACCTTTTGGGACAGTTTTGTCCATTTTTATAGATCACTAAGCCTGTTTGTCATTAACAACTCCACATGGTTTGAGGCAAGAGTCCGATGATTTACGCATGCAGTTTGCATGATGCTAACTAGTTAGGTATCAGCTTTCATTACTTGGTAGCTACATTAGCCTTGTAGCTCCAGTGTAAAACTAAAGAAGTAAACTTTGGGCTCTTTGGACAAGTTTTGGCTGGTTCACTACATTTGGGGTAAGATGGAAAATTATGTGAATTAGATATCTAGTCACTTTAATGAAAGAGAACCAAGCGTACCAAAGTATAACAAGAGTAATTCTGTGTCAGCATTGTTCAGTTAAGAGTTCTTTACCTTCCACAAAGACATAAGCCCTGTGGACTGCATCTCCTCCCTTGGTCACCATGCGGAGGGTATAAAGACCCTCATCATCCTTGGCGAGATGAGTCAGTGTGAGCTTAGCAACACCTCCACCAGACTCCATTTTCACCCACTTCGATTCTTTCAAAAGGTGCTCTGGAAGTTGAAAAAAAGCACACACACACACACACACACACACACACACACACACACACACACACACAAACAAGAACACCATGTCTTTTGTGAGTGTAAATGAAAAACAACTCTTCCTTTAGAATATGCTTGTGATTTGGAACAGAGGTGTAATTTGATCATGTTTTTGAGAACAGCAGGCCAGAGACGACACTGTGAGTCACAGAAAAGAGAAAAAGCAAAGTTCAGTGCCCTTGTCATGGACCTGGACTGTAGCTTAGGAAGTACAAATTGCAAAAAAAATACATCTATAAAAAAATGTAAAGACTCAAAATTGGTGAAAATGTGAACTGTGAGCAGCCATTAGATGACTGAATGGACTTGAGGCATGTTTTCAAATTCATGCTCTTTCACCTTGTGTTATTTTCAGGTCAAAATAACCCCTTTATGAGACATTTATTAGAGCTAAAGTAGTGTAGACTTTGTTCATGTTTTACAAAACAAAATGTAGCAAACATTTGCATCATATAGTTTTGTTGAACCACTATTGATGAGAGCCAGATACATAATAATATTGTGAATTGATAATATAATAACTACACTGTCATTATTTGCATCAAAACTATTTGGCAAATAACTTTTAACCAAAAAATGAAAAGGTATATTAGCTTAAGCATGCAAAAGAATTGTTTGCTTTTATATATATATATATATATATATATATATATATATATATATATATATATACATATATATATATATATATTCCTACCATCTCTGTACCACAGGGCATCAGGCTGCAGATTGGCAAGATTGGGGCTTATGGTCATCTTACAGGCCAGAGTGACTTGATCTCCCTCTTTACCGAACGTCACATCAAACGTCTCCAAAAAGGTGATGTTAATCCTTGTGTATTTAATCTCAGGTAAAATTGCATCTGAGGAATACATACAGTAATGAAATGCAAAAAGTTTATGAAAACCTTTCATTTTAGGGTTCATACCTAAGAGCTTCATTAAACAATTATGATTATGGCTATCAAAGTTAACACATTAATAATATGTTTATATGATTATTAACATGACTAAATTATTTACATCACATTTTTAATCCATTAATGCATCTTCCTCAGCTCAGCCTTCAACCCGTGCATAGTAGCTCCAGGCTGAAGCCCAGCTGCAGTACACTGTATATTATGTCTAACAGAATCCTCTCATTCAAATGCAGCTTTTAAATGCCTTTTAAAGCAAAACCTTCAGCACCTTCAGCAGAATACAGTGCTTACGGGAGACCTACGGATAAATCAATGAGCAGCAAACTAACAAAAGCAACAGCAAAGTGAAGCTCCAGTTCCCTTTGAGAGTCCCCAGTGTAACAAGAATCCACAAGCGGCAAGACAGCAACAGGCTACAGTCACAGAGGAGTTAAATGTATAGACTGTATATATGATACACATGATCTATTCACTCATTGGTTGGAACATGCAGCCACTGTTGCTCTCACTTTATGTTGGTGATGACTCTGCATTTACTTTATATGACTTCTCATGTTCAATTTTATGTGAACCCTGCATTCACTTGACGAAAATAATGTTATTGAATTACTGAAGGCAATAAATACATTCTGATGAAGCTTGTTTTGTCCATACATATAGCCATAACAAAATGCACTGCTATTTAAACATTTATTTAGGGTCAAATCTGAGGAAGTAAGAAAAATGTGATTACAGAACTATACTAAACTATTAATGTGATTAATCATAGTTTATTATTTTAATCATTTTACTCACAGCCCTAATTATATAAATTGAAAGTTTTATAATTATAACTTGCTTATAAGTAATAAATATAAATGTATGCATATAACCATGTAATAACATACACTTAATGTTGACTTAAGCATTTATAAATGAAAAATGTATGAGCAGGTTATACATCTGTTACTAATGTTTTAAGAGTTTTAAGAGTTCTTAACCCCATAAACTGTAGGCTTATTATTTAGATATTAATCTCAAGATTTATAATTCAGTAACTATAAATTATTTGGCAATAACTATCAAACTAATACGTAAGTCATGTGGCTCACATATGAAATTTATCAGGTTAAGAGATTTTAAAAGAAGAGTAACCAAAAAACTTTCAAACTTACATTGGTAAGACATCCAAGAATAAGGAGAGGGTCTCTCCTCCTCTTTGGGCCCTATAAAACATGCATAACAAGGAATTCCCAATTACAGAATTACAGTAAAACTAGGATCCTGAATAAGAACAACTCCTCAAATCAAACAACATGCAGTTATATGTAAAAGTTTAAACACTCTCTGTCAACGTACACTCATCCTCAACAGGGAACAAACTAAAATATGGCATTTTTCTGCAGATGTTGGTGTACAATTTCAATTTTTTTTTCTGAGTTTAAAGCAGCACTATGTAAGTTTTGAAGATATGGAGGCTGCTCTGCTGAAAATGTGTAACTGAATGCAATGTGTGGAAGAAAATTTTTAATGTCAGCTGTATTTGAATCTGATGGTTGAAAGAGAATTCACAGAGAACTCATTTAAAATTTGGTGAAGGACGCATCTTCTGAGGATGTGAGTAAAGATCCACTGTTGTCATCATATCTTCAACATTATAATGCTGATTTCGCATTTGAGATCTAAACATCGAGCTCCTTTTTGAGCCTGTGCATGAAACATTGACATATAAAGATGTAGGATTAATATTCCAGGCTTTAAAAGGCGACTCTCAGCAGCGCACACGCAGCATATTTTAGCCTGTTTTTTTCCTCAGCAATGCTACTTCTTTCAATTTTAACAACAAACTTACAAAGTGCAGCTTCACCATATTAAAAATATAAAATATAAAAGGTGTCACAACTTTTGCATAAGCTATATTTTATGCTTTATTTATTCACATATGTTAAATTCAGCAAATAAACAATAATTGTGCATTAAAATGTGCAGAAGTGTGTCCTCTGTAGAGGATGTGTACATAATTTCATTTATACAATCAACAAAACGTATCATTTGACCACCCAAACCTTTGCACCATGCAGTATAAGAGTTTATGTTATATAGATGTTTGTGTAATTGCTAAACAGACTCACTCTTGACAATCACAGAGGCCTGAGAGGAAGCCTGGCCATGGGAGTTGGTGGCTACAGCTGTGTACATGGCAGTGTCATCAATCGCACACCTGTATAAGAAACACAGACACACTCAGGTTGGACACTGTATCTCCACTCCCAGACACCTCCCCAGGTTCAGATCAATACACAGCCAAATCAATAGCATTTTCAACTTTATTAGACTCATTAATCAATTGATAAGTCTGCTAGTGCAGAGCGATATCTGCTTTGATTGGATATATGGCATGGTTTCCTAATTGACATTTAGACGGCGCATGAAATTCCCCCCTCCAGTCTGAAATGGATAAGCTGCCTATGATACAGTGCTGGGAGGTAAGGAGGACGTTGGTTGTGTGCAGCGTCAGAACGGGCAGAACATGGGCAGCAGTGAGGCGTGAATGGCAAACATGTAAGGCTGCCAGGAGAGAGAAGAGAGCAACAGTAATGTGACCTTCAGTCTGATGCAACTATTTTAAAGCAGACTTCGCTATCTGTGGCACCCGTGCTGCTGGAACAACACGTTCGCTGTTGCAAAGGGACCGTGAAAAGGTTTCTTTGCTCATCGGAGGAAGAATGCAGAATGCCATCAGTGTCGCTGTTTGAGAAGCGCTTGTCTGCCATGGCAGAAGCAGACAGGGGTCAAGGTTTTGACGCTGGATGTTCGCAAGATTGACGCGGAGACGGAGGAAAGTGATCCTCTGCTCTTTAAGGAGCTGCCAGGCTCGGGTGACACTGAGCTCAGCACTTGGGCATGAACAGCTGACAGGAGCCCAAGACGTGGGCGGAGTCACGGGTCAGGGCTTGGGCTAAAATGGGAAAACGCTCACATGCGCCCACATTCTCACAGCTTCCTTTTGCGGAAAGCTCAGCAGTGAGCAAACACAATGGCCCATATTCATTAGGGTCACTTAGTTTCAGTTAAAGTCAATGTTTTAGTGTTTACATTAGAATGAATGCTGTTATATGGATAGTGGCTACATGATCTCTAGCTTGCAGACTTGTTAAACACATTTTGCCTTACTTTTAGATTAGAAAAGATTAATAATTTTTATATCAAAATCTCAGTTTGAAAACGTGCAACTGTCAAATCACAAGAGCTACAATTTTAATTATATCCTACATTATTCAATGTTTTGTTAACGATTTTTAAGTGGGAGATTTTAACCTAATAACACAGAGCTCATGGACAGGCAGTCTGGAACTCTACATTTGGTGTAGTCAAGTCATCTGGTGGGTCAAGTCCAAAAAATGGGTGTAGTAGTCTTCTTGCCCAAAAAAAGGCCCTGAGCTTAATTTATAGAAAAAATGCATTTAAATCAATATTTTGTGTATATTTTATAGATTTTAGTTTCAGTTTTTTCTCACCACAAGCATTTCAATGCATGAATGTCCTGACATGTTGAGCAAATGACAAATAAACTTGAAGCTTCAAAAACTTGAAAAATCACAACTGCAATATTGGTCAGAAATTGGAAAAACTGCAATTATATTATAGATATTTCCCCTAGTTTCTACTCTACAACCTCTCCCATTTGTCAATATTTATTTATGTATTTTAGGTGGATAGCTTATTTATAGATTTGGCTTAATTTATAACAAATAATCACACTGATTATTGCTATCACAATATTGCAATATTGGTCAGAAAAATCGCAATTTGATATTTTCTCCAAATCATTCAGCGCAACTTCTAACAGATATTCAACATAATATGAGAAAATTGTCTAAAAATTAACTATTGTTAATTAACACATAATTTTTAGCCTTTATCTGAGACAAGATGTATAAAAGTGGGCGAATGTTTGATAAAATATGCTAAGGACAGGAGTGTAGTATGTAAATTATATGTTGCATAAATTACTAAAATCTACTTAAAAGCATAAAAAATCAAACACCTGTTGTTCTCTTTTGACATTAGGGGTAGCTATTGTTCTGCCACAGACGTATGAAAAGCAAAAAAAATAGAAAATATAGAAATTAAAGCAGTGTATATGCTTGAAAAAAAGGGGCCACAAAGGGTTCTTTGAGCTATGCCATTGAAGAACCAAGAGTCATGTTTGAAAACGAGATGTGTGAGCTGTGAAGAGCCTTTACATAATAGGCAGGTTCTATACCAATTTAAGGGTGCAGAGGTCCTCTGAACTACAAAAAGAACTTAAAAAAGGTTCTTCACACTCACATACAGTGGTATGCAATAAATTTGAACATCCCCAAATTACATGTTTTGCTGATTTTCTAAGTTAAACTAAGTCATCTTTCACTAGGAACAAACTCAAATGTGACATTTTTCTGCAGATTTTAGTGCACATTTTCTACTTATTGGTTGAGTTTAACATACTGGAAAACAATGAACTTTAACTGTTGCAGAGGCCACATTTTGTACAGTATTTTTTCCAAATTGTTACTTTCAACAAATAAACAGCAAATATACATTAAAATGTTAAAGTGTTAACTTATTTTCACTTAGAAAATCAACAAAACGTCATTTGACCATGGGCACCCAAACTTTTGAAAACGACTGTATCTCTCCTATGAAAATGATTCTCTAGAAAACATCAATTAAAGGTTTCTTTAAATAACTAAAAGGGGTTCTTCTATGGCATTGTGCAAAGCTTTGAAGAGTGTAGTACGTTGATAAATCTACAAATGCATGAAAAATTAAACAGCAATTCATGTTATTTCTTGCAGAGAGGGCACAGCATATGCAGGACTTAGCAGTTGGTCAGCTTCCGACTGTGAACTCATAGATGTGAGCCTACAGCTGATTACAGCTTTCTATTCAGTGCAGGTCATTATTCAAGCAATAGACCCTGAATTACATGCATTTAGCCCTGATGGTTAACACCTGCTGGTCGAGAAAATCCATGCTATTGCCTTAATTACTTTATGATGGTCAGGCTGTGAATTCCAGCGCTGCTCTCCACGAAGTACTTTCCAGACGAAACGTCCAGAAGGGCATCATCCTTGAACCTGTCAAGAATGAGAAAGAATATGATTACAAGAGGAAGAAATGCCTTCTGCCAGGTTCTTTCATATGCCTTCATGTAATTCAACATTCATATACAGACTTCTTACTGCAACTGTAGACCTGATTTAAGTTAACTGTACGTTAAATATATTACTTTGACAGACTCTAGCCCTGCATCGTGTAGGCCTTTCAGTTGAGTTTTGTCATTCTCTCGTTAGATGGAGGGGGTTGTTTCTCAGCGTGCAGTGGCAGTCTGATTCACCAACGTCAGGCCTGCTTTATTTTGTGTGTTGGGTTGTGATAATGCCACGCTGACAGGGCCTAGTCAGAAGCGTACTCTGCCCTGGACCTCTGTCAATCACCACAGCTTTCGTATGATGGACCGTTGGCAGCTCGGCTTAAGTCCACCTGACAGAGCGCGACTGGAGAAGGGAATTCGCCATGGTTCCTTTGCATTTCAGATGTGTGATGTCTGAGTCATGTAGGAAGCTTTGGTCCACATTAGCTTCAGGGGGAACGCAAACGCTCCTATATTACTGCTCAAAAAAGTGTGCAATCGGTTGTCATGTTCATTTTTGTTATTTTCTATACAATAATAACTTGCATATATTTAAATGTTACAGTGTACATCTTTTTTTCTATGTTTTATTTTATATATTTTAAGTATTTTGGGAGGAAAATATGTTATTAAAGGCCCATATCTTATATATTTCATTTTTTTCCCCTAGGGTCCACTGACGAGTTCTGTGTGGGTTTATGCACCAAAAATGATTCATTTTACAACTGTATCTATCCCTTAGAATTAAACAGGCAGTATGTATTACTGTGCCTTTAAGACTGTTATTTGTAAACAGACTTTGTTCTAATTGGCCTTTCTGTATTGCACCTAATTATCAAAGTATAACACTCCTTATAACTTCGGTGTGAATAGGCAGAGCTAAACTGCTGTAGGCTAAATAGGCAGATATAAGTAAATGTGCCAGTTTTTGTGACATCGCTAAAAGACCCAGTCAATTCAAGACAGGCTGTTTAGGCAGCTCACTTTCCATAAATGGACTTAATGGTATGTTTTAAAGCTTGAGCAATGCATGCACACTTCATCAAACTTTTTCATTTCAAAAACATGAGAACATTCAATTTTCCAAGATATGGAACTTTACATTATAATTGATATAGTGAGCTGGTACGGCAAAGGTATGATATTTATGATGATTGTTTGTCAAGTTGTCTATCAAGAGATTTTGAAATATGAGGCATTCTGGATATTGATTTTGTATTAACTTCATTCTACGTGTTATTCAGTCATTTTATAATCATCTACATCTCTGTTCATCATTCTGGACGCATCTAAACCTGTGAAGTTCCACACGCTTAGCATGTCAGACTCATTTATGCATTTATCGGCTACTCAAATGGCTTCATATTATTGAGTGATGATTCCAAACTTTTGAACAGCACCATACATGTGCTTGGCTCGTGTCACGGACTTACCAATTGACATGTGGAGTGGGGTAACCCTTCACAGTGCAGAACAGCTTCACGGCAGAGTTCTCAAACACAATGTGTGACCTGAGCCTAACCAAGAACTTGGGGCCTCTGATCATGGGCGTCTCCCAAATGTACTTTTCCGGAAGCTTCTTCTCCACCTGTTAGGAAAAAAGAACGAGGTGTTTTATGACGTTGTTCCACTTCGTACATCAAACAGAATGTTCAGAGGACATAGTGAGCTTCACGAGAGCACAAGTCACCTTTTAACCTTCTCTGACCTGTTGGCAGGTCCAAACATCCTCACTTCTTTATCTTATTAATAACACAATCACTTTGCATTACTTTCCTCTTAGTTGCTAAATAATAAGCCTTAGAATGTGGACAAAGAAACCTAAGGGGTTAAAGCTAGGAAGAAATATGTACCATACTGCAGAACCCATTTTCTAACCCAAACAAGAACTGTTTTTATGTTAGACGCTAGGGCAGAATGTAGAGTTGATGTAAAAGCTGTTATAGAGGCAAGATAACTGTAATTAGATGTGTGAGCCCAGGAGCTACTCAGCACCATTTCTTGACATAATGTGTAGGTGCAGTCCTTTACAAAAGGATCTTACCACTTTCTGGACATTTCTCTCTGTTCTGTATTCATAGCTCACATCTTCAGCTTTAGAGCTAAAAGCACAGAGATTCACATTCGTTACAATGACAGTGGCAAAGGATTGTAAGTCAAAAGACATTGTAAGGTTAGTACTTGCACTCACATACACAAAACAATCAGTACAGAAACATTTAGGTCCATTCTTTATGACACCTAATGACAACCTAGGTTGTTTTGGGTCAGGTACAGATAAATAATATAAACTTAATATTCACTGAAATGTTTTTTTTTTCTGGCATCTACTTTTATTAGCCTCTATAACTCCAAACCAGTCATGACCTTGACCCATATGTTTAAAGTCCTTCCATGTTAACATTCTTAAATAAACTAGCAACTTAGATAAGATAAAATGGTCTGCAAACCATTTGTTATCAATTTTCATGTGAACAATTCTTATTAAATTGCAAGTAGCACTTCTGGCACTTTCAGCTACTTCAATGATACAATACCAATGGAGCAAAATATGAGATTAATGTCAATAAGCATATTGCAATACTGCAATTAGCTACTCCATTATGAATATTATAACTATTTTATTAATGCCTCCTTATGGCTGTTCAGTGAATTAAATCCTTTTGCCAATAATAGCTCTTGATGAGGGAAATCATTTGTGGCAACCATGCACAGCATCTCTTACCTGGAGTATTCCTGGACTACGTATTTTGAGTGTTTACTACGATAGTCGTGAGTAAAATGCTTGCGCCTGGCGACGACTGCAGCCATATTTGACAACCTAAAAGGACCTATGAACAAAAACCAACAATAACCACATGCACTCTGCAGGAATGACAGATTCAGTAACATAATAGCATAATGCACTTGCAACTATAAGCTGAACCTGATTGTTTTTTTAAGCCATTTTCGACCACTGTACTGTAAATAATTCCATTTTTGCACGATTTGGGTGTTGCATCAGTACATTTGGAAGAGCTGTGGTAGTACAGCACTGAGCTGGACGCCAAAGGCAAGACCAGCTTCAGTTTAAAATTAGAGACTGGGGTTGGGAATCATAGAGGACTGGATTGTGGTAGTCTATAATACCATATTATGCAGTGTAGATCAAGTTTATCTGTGAAGGTTTCCTTCATATAGGTGCATCTGTATACTCACCATGGATACTATTACCACCATCAAGTAAAGCTATACCAGGACATAGATACTGTACCTTACATCACTGATTTAAGCATGCGTCATGCACAACGATATTTCATTAACTTTAAATACACTGAACTGAAACTATGAATACAATCTTTGTTAAAGGTTTCACATGATGTGCTGCACTAAATCCCAATAAACAGGACTAATTATGCTGTCTTGCAAGACAGCATGCTGTTGCTCACTGTTATTTAACTACTGACATGCTCAGGAAATGTATTACTGTACAATAAAATAGTCATATTCCCAGTCTTTATCGTAGAACTTTATGATCAATAATACTCTACAGTGACTATAAGGTTGAGTAAAACTGTTTGACTGCAAACAAGAAATGTGAAATAACTGTACTGTCATATCTGCAGTATTCGTACCAAGAACTAAAAAGCAAGCCCTCATTTGCAATTCAAAAAATGGCTGGACTGTCTCATCCAAGGTTTACAGAGGTAAACAATACTCTATCCATCATATTCCTGATAGAATAACCAAATTTAGTGCTGATAAATTATTCCTAACTATAGATCATTCCAAACCTTAAAAGATAAATCCAACATCCCAAAAAAATTATCAAAGCTAAATTTGACTCTCTACGTTCCTGTATTAAAAGGTGAACCATTTATTTTTTAATTTCTAAATAATTAAATGGTTTAGATGTAAACAGAGTCATTCAGAGTGGTTTGGTGTGAAATGCTCTGTTCTAGAGAAACTTACAGAGTCAGAATTGTTCACAGTGGTGGTGATAGGAACCAGACGTCCAGCTCTAAAAGCTCCCTAACAGAGAGTTTTTACAAGAAATAGCCAAATCTACGCTGCCTGAAATCTGAGACATTGTTTTGTGATAGTATGTGATAAAGTTTTAGCCCAAATTGTTAATCCATTCATGGTGGAAGGATAAGTTACCTGTATGGCATTGTGAGGCACAGAAAGTCCCAAATGAAACCTCCTGTTTTTCAGATTTTTCACTATTATGCTATCATCAACATTACATACTGAAACTCGGAACACATGAAGGTTCACTGGTGGTTTTGTACTGTAAATAAAACGGCTATATTTGTGTTGTAGACATGGCGAACGCTGGTTCCTATCACCCCCACTGTAAAGAAATCTGAGTCGGTAACTTTCTCTTCAACGACCCATTTTACAACTTACATCACTCTGAATGACTTTGTTTACACTGCAACAACGGAATTAGGCCAAAATTTTGAAGAATTGGCGGAATTATCCTTTAATACGAAAGCACTTTAAAACTAAAGGCCCCCCAAATGATGGACCGTTTGCAATGAAACCGTTAACGCTAGCTAGCTAGGTTAGCATACTTGACCTCACTCAAATTAACGATTTCAAACGTGACTGAACCAAAATATATCTAAATAAAGTTTCTTTCACATCACAGAACACAAAGAAGATATTAAGTCGGCTATTTCTGCGTTTATACAGTTTTATCCTAACTTAGTAGTTAAGCGCTTTGTATGCTAACTGTGTAGCCGCAGCAAGCTAACGTTAGCTAACGGTAGTCAGAGTTCGTTGCGAGCTCACTTTAACAAGTTTGAAAAACATTAATATTTTTTACAGAAATAAAAAAAAATAATAATCGTATGTGACCAAAACAGGTCACCTTCTCAATCAATTACTATCCGCCTCTCTATTCACACACGAATAGGCCTATTTGATTAGTCTGCGTGATCAGCAGCAGAGCTAAAAATACGAGGTAATAGGTCTAATTAAGCGCTCATATTCCACCGTTATTATCATCACGGTAATCATCGCCGTCATTAGCATTTAGGCAGGCAAGGACAAAGCAGGCTGTTGAGAAATAGTCTCCATCATCCTCTAGTCCTGAGTAATTTCTTCTAGCGGCTATATAAGGGCTAATTTAAGGACTTCTGAGCGAAGTACAGCAGCAAACTCACCCTTCAGGAGCGGGAAGCACAGATAGCCAACAGCTCAGCCTGAGCCTCAGCTCGCCCTGCGCTGACCAGCTGAACAAAACCAAAATATTACCCGCCCGGAATGCATCCCATGTATGGACAGGCAGACGACTATATATAGCATTTACACAAACTTCCCACGTTATTTCTCACCAGGACAGGATAGAGGCATATCTGACAAAATTTTAAAGGAGAATTCCACCAATTTTTCAACATTTCTGAATAATTCAGTGCTTGAGATGTAAACATCATTCAGAGTGGTTGAAATGGTTAATTGTAGAGAAACTTACACAGTCCTTCTTTTTTTAACTTTTATTATGCACAAAAGACTAATTATGCACAACAGACTAAACGTGAGAATTAGGATACAAAAAATAAATCAATAAACAAAACAGGACAAGCACAAAAAAAGCCCAAAAGGGTTTGCACTAGGTACTAGGTGAATTACAGGCTTCTCTACGGTGGTGGTGATAGGAACCAGGGGTCACCATGCCTATTCACTATTATAGCCATTTTATTTACCATCCAAAAACACCAGTGAACCTACACGTGTCGTCTGAATGTTTGTATGTAATGTTGATGATGGTAAAATAGTCATAAATCTGAAAAAAATAAGTTTTCTCTGGGGACTATTTTGCCTTACCACACCATTCATGTACTCTTCCACCATGAATGTATTTTAAAAATAGGTTTTAGTCCAAAACCTTCTTTATTATCATCATCAAACAATGACTCAGGCACTCCAACAACATGTTTGTTGTCATTTCATATAATAGCTCTCTGTGAGGGAGCTTTTAGAGGCATTAAACTACTTTTCTGAGCATTTCACATCAAACCGCTCTGAATGACTTTGTTTACATTTCAACCATTTAATTAAGCACAAATTTTGAAATATGGGTGAAGTTCCCCTTTAACAGATGCATGCACTAATTCAGTGTTCTTTCCCTGTCCTGTACAGTTCAGTGCTTTTTACAGCTTCCAGCACATCTGAATGAACTACTCAGCCAAGCTTATTTAATAAGCTCTTCACAGGTTAATTTGGGTGTGTTAGTGGACAGAAAACACTAAAAACCGCAGGAATTGATATGTTTGCAAGTGAAAACATCCTAAATGTAGCCAATATCTCTAATATTTCTCATTATGAGATTGTAAGAATATTGTAAGATGGTGTAACTTATTTCTAGGGATTTTTTACTTGTTTTAAGCAGCATTTCTTAAAATAAGTAAATTATCTGCATTATTTCTTACAACAAGCAAAATAAAGTGCCAAAGGAATAAGACACTGTCACTATGCAAAATTGCTTAAAATAACTAAAAATGTACAGAAACAGATTGAATAATCCAAGATATCGATTTTGCAGTGATTGTACTGAGTAGGAGAAGCACTGAAACTAATTCATGGTAACTTATAATGTTTTAGGCCTTGGCTGAGAAATAAGGACTTTAATTTGTTAATATGAGGTAAAAAAAAAAATAGCAAACAAACAAAAACAAATTTTAAATAATAATAATAATAGCAGTATATTATGTAAATTAAAAATAACCTATATAAAATTCATTTAAAAAGTTTTAATAAGTGTGAAAACTGTTATAAAGCTGTGAGTTTTTAATCAGTTTTGCTAAAAGCTAGTTTAAGCCTTGCTGGTAGTCTTGCATTAGTTTCTTGAGACATCCCCCCTGAAGACAGTGATACAGCCGAGTCCTATTTTTAACAGCAGATTAAGTTCACAGGGACAGTAAGGGCAGCACTGGGGCCAAAGCCAAGGCACAGCATGCTATGAACTGTATGTCTGCTCTAGTGTAATTCCAACATGAGATCACTCTGTCGATCGAGTTGTCAAACATGTTAACCTAAATAGTCAAACCCACATCTCACATTAGTGTACTGACCAGTGGCCTGAGAAAGCAGACACAAAGCAGCAGTTGTCTTTTCTGCATAGATGCTTTTAAACCGCTGTCATGGTTAACCAGATATAATCTGTGACAAAATATCAAAATCTGACTGTGAAATTGTGAATTTAATGGCTTCACAGCACTGTTAAAGCAATGAAACAGCACTTTATCTCCCTTTGATAACAACAAAGTCTTTTTGAATTTTATTTTATATAGATATTTTTCACATAACCAGCATTAAATTTAAAATTGTTTAATAATAGTAAGCTTGGCAAATAGAGTAGTATTAGCATTATTATTTATTATAAATTATATATTAGCTAATATAATAGGCCTAGTATATCTATAAATCACTTTGGTTATTTTTTACTTCATCATATTCCTTCAAAGTTTTATACTGATGATGCTGTTAGGTAAACTGTACTCCATTTTCTTTTTTTCTTTACTTCTGTATATTTTTTCTTGCCCTGCATCCATATACTGTCTTTTATATATATATATATATATATATATATATATATATATATATATATAAATATATATATATATATATATATACACCTACTGTATAGAGACTGTAGTCCATCTGTTTCTTTGCATAATTTGTATCCCACCTTTACCTCTGTGGGGGTCCTGGCCAACACTGATGTGGTGGTAGTGTGTTAGTATGTGTTGCACTGTTGAGAGTGGATCAGACACTGGATCCAGTGCTGCTGGAATTTGTAAACACTGTGTCCACTCACTGTCAACTCTATTAGACACCCCTACCTTGTTGGTCCATCTTGTAGATGTAAAGTCAGAGACGATAGCTCATCTGCTGCTGCACAGTTTGTGTTGGCCATTCTCTAGTCCTTCATCAGTGGTCACAGGAGGCTGTTGGCTGGATATTTTTGGTTGGTGGACTATTCTCAGTCCAGCAGTGACACTGAGGTGTTTAAAAACTCCAGCAGCACTGCTGTGTCTGATCCACTCAGATCAGCGCAACACACACTAACACACCACCACCACGTCAGTGTTACTGCAGTGCTGAGAATGATCCACCACCCAAATAGTACCTGCTCTGTGAGGGTCCATGGGGGTCCTGACCATTGAAGAACAGGGTAGAAGGGGGCTAACAAAGTATGCAGAGAAACAGATGGACTACAGTCTGTAACTGTAGAACTACAAAGTGCACCTATATAGTAAGTGGACAATGAGTGTAGATACAAGGAGGTAGTTTTAATGTTATGGATGATATATATATATATATATATATATATATTATATATATATATATATATATATATATATATAATGTGTGTGTATGTATATATGTACACATACATACATATATATGTATATATATATGAGTGTGTATGTATATATGTGTGTATATATGTATATATATATGTGTGTAAGTATATAAACGCGAAATCACATGTCACGTGATGCTGGAGCCGCGTCATCACATGACCAGCTCATCCGCGCAAACTCAGTGGACGAAAAAGTGTCAACATATTCACCACGAAGTTTACTGTTTACTGTGGCAGTCCGCGGACTTCTGGGAGAAGTTAAGAGCTTGTTTCTTGCCTCGTTTATTGCTTTTAACCTCTCTTTTATCAAAGAAAAACGGAGGCGCCGTGGTGAGGAACTTTCTCGTATGCAGACCGGGCTGGTAATAACAAAGCTCGCCTGTGTCTGTTAGCTTAACGCTCTGAACGCTAACCTTATTTCATTGGGACGGAGAGAGAGAAGGAGAGAGAGAGAGACATAGGTAGGACACAAGCTCTGCTCTGCTCTTCTTTTAGTTTGACTTTGTTTAAGCTTTCGTCTCTGTTCTGTGTCTCTGTGATTACCATTAGCTGTTCACCAAGGAACCAGAGTAAATAGCAGAGTAAGCTAACGTTACAGCACCTCTCCAGTGCTTTGAACCGCTTTTCGTTTTAACAGTCTCTGTTCTTTCACTTCTTATTGATTAATATAAACAAGACTCCAAATGATGCTTTAGACGTTCAGTGTTTAAAGTATTTAGCGAACAACAAGAAGTTATTATATGATTAACTATTATCTACGGTGTCTGTAGGAGCCTCTTATTAAAGTGTCCCTGTATATGAACAATATATGATATCATAAATATTCATTTATCACGTTACTAGTCATTGATTTTGGGATCATCTACAGCTCCATTTATCATTCTGAACACATCTAAAATTTCTTCCTTTTCCTTTGTTAAAGTTGGCCAAATTGAGCGGTATTAGCATTATTTTTTGTTATAAAAATATAGAAGTGTACATAATAGGCCTGTCTTTTTAGAACACTTATTTTATTTTCAGCTTTGTAAAATTCCCTCAAAGTTGTACGTTTATGAGGAAACGTAACCGTTCAGCATTTTTTTGAAACTCATGATGTTTCACAGGAACATTATGCTGGTAATATTTTAATTATATATTAAAAACAAGAGGTTTGTATTACCAGAAACACTGATTCCAAAGTATTGAGCAGCAGTGTCACTTAACATTTTACCTCTTTTAACCTCTTATTTTAAAAACAGTCCTAACTTGGGTCTGTCCTCTGGGTTACTTCTGAAGAAGAATGAAGTCGATTGCAGTCTTCCTGTGTCTTGGATGTGTCTTCATGTCGCCGGTGGATATGCATCCTCGGTAAGGTGGATTTAGTTATTTGAAATGACATGTAAAACTTCAGTACACCATAAATCAGCATTCTGTTCATGTCATGAATGGACTGTGCTTCTTTTAGGCGAGACTGGACCAAACTCATCTTGACTCACCACTGGCCAGAGACGTTTTGCACCGTAAGAAACCAAATGATATTACTGGTTTTATAAATAGAAGCTGTTAAACTAGTTGAGTCATGCAGATTAGCCTGCATAGATGATATTTCTGTCATTAAGTGTGGTTCGTGAGTTTAACAGCATCTGCTTTGTTTGTTTGTTTGTTTGTTTTTAGATGGAACACTGCACTGCAAACATTAGTTATTGGACCTTGCATGGATTTTGGTAGGTTCGAAATCCTAAAGTTTTACTTGGTGGCATAGCAAAAGCTTTTAAAGATAGGTTAATCTTTCCAAACTGTTGATTCAGATGAAAAATGTCTTTGTGACACAGGCCTAACATTGGTATCAGTTGCAACTCATCTTGGCACTTCGATCCAAGTCTGATAGAGGTATGTGAGCATGTCTCTTTTGGGTTAGAGGGTAAAACAGGCCTGTGTGGCTGCTACTGGCTGTCGACCAGTATGTTTTTCTGGGCTAATACCAGTATTGATCAACATTGTACTAAGGGCCAATTAACCAGTACATAGGGCCAGCATTCATTTGGCATACATTTAACATTTATAGTATGAAAATTCCTTCACAAAATGAACATACATTAATGTAATGTTTAATGAAATATTAAAAATAAGCATTTAAACATTATAAAAATAGTGCATGGGGCATCCAGACAGTATAATTATGTAAATGATAAGAAAATGTAGTAATACATCACTAAATAATCACTAAAGAAATATTCAGATAACTCTTTATAAAAATAATTAAATTAAATAAGTATTATTGGGTATTATTAAGTAATCCATTAAATATCCCTGCATAATCAAACACATAAATTTATGATCGCATGAGACAGGCTTTGGATAGCGCTGTGGGCGAGACTCTGAGACAGGCTACTGAAGCTTTAATTGGTTGTATTTGATATGTGATACTTATTTCAACCAATCCAGTAAGGCTGTGGCTGTGACATTGAGCCAGGAGAGTTTCTGTCAGTTGCAGTTTTGTTAAAGATGCATGTTGGAAAGAAAACTTAAAATGCTGACTCTAATTATCGGAAAAATGATCATTGTTCCTTGTGGGTGCAGACATGAAAAACTGAGTTAGCTGTTCCTGTCTTCAGTCACACAGATCTCCTTTACAGAAACTGTTAATGGAAATTCTTAAGTGTATTTAAAAGCAAGTCACACGACAGATAGAGGGCTGAAAATTGAAACAAAACGAAAGGGTACTTTGTCCACCACTGGATCTACATACATCACAGAAAATGCCTTCCTGCATTTGCATGCTTCCGTTTGTCTGATTTTCAGGACCTACTTCCAGAAATGAGAAAATTTTGGCCAGATCTTCTTCAGCCTGCATCTACATCATTTTGGTATGACTTCTAAAAACTACAGGTTTCACTTCTGTAATGTTGTGTAATGTTTGCCGATCCCACGACTACCACAACTTTGCAATGAAGCACTAATGGCCTTATTGTTGTTGTTATTCAGGAAGTATGAATGGCTGAAACATGGAACGTGCGCCGCCAAAGATGAAGATTTAAACAGTCAACACAAATACTTCAGCAAAGCCCTCGAGCTCTACCACAAGCTGGATCTTGATGGGTGGGTGAACATTTGCAGTGTTAAAGGGATATTGAGTTTTAGTGTGCCGTGCTTAAAGGAATTACAAAATGACACAATTATCTGCTTACACCAGATTTAGTTAATCAACAAGGGTGTGTTTGGCATCCAGTTGTTATTACTTCTTTAATTTAACGCTGGAGCTATGAAAATAACTTTGCTAACAAATGCTAGAATTATTAATTAATTATTATTAATTAATTATTAATTAATGGTTCACGATGAGCACTGCTGTATAATTGCAGGAATATGCAAGAGTTTAGGCACCGCTGTTCAAATGACAGTGCTATTGTTGATTTTCAAGTGAAAATAAGTGGACACATCCTCTACAGAGAACACACTTCTGCACATTTTAATGCACATTTACTGTTTATTTGCTGAATTATTGGGTGGGGGGTGGATACAACAAGAATATGGCCTGTGCAATTTATATTGTACTTTTTCCCCGCTGTGTTAAACTCAGCAAATAAATATAAATTGTGCACTGAAACTTGCAGGAAAATGCCATATATTTTTTTTTCTATCCCTGTAGAAGATGTGTAACTTTTTCGCTTAGAAATCCAACAAAATCCAGGGGTGTTTAAAGTTTTGCCTTTAACTGTATTTGTGCAGCTGGTAAATGTTCTTGATTATATGACGAAAAACAAAAAAATATATGAAATGGCTGGCACAGTGCAATATGAGTAATACAGCATTATTATGAAAAATGTCCTAAAAAGCATTACATAAAATTTGATAATATCCATAGAAACCCCGCTAGTGGAGATTGTAGCTAAACATTACGATTTATAATCATTAGTCACCCATATGTTTTCTTTAAATACATCCCCAAACCTCTCTCAATCTGCATCCAGCTCTTGATTAAGGTCACACAGACCTGTCAGTGTGGTTTAGGACACAGTATGATTTACTATGTACTATAAAACTTCACTGTGTAGCTAAAAGCAACAGTGTCAAATTCACCTCCCCACAGAATCTGACTCCACTTTGCATGCACACACGTCAGACGGGCATGTGGACGCTAAATTATATTTGTGATTTCTGTTTTAAACATGTATCTCCTGTTAGAAAATTCACTATTACTAGTTATCTATAAACAGAAACAACAAAAAACTGTGAACATGAAGTGTGGTGTCCATATGCCTGCATGATGTGCGCACACACGAAGGGGGAGTTGGTATTTGGCTCCACTAAAACAGTTGTCTGCAGCATTAGTACATGCTATATACATAAGGAATGCATATGTATGTAACACTATGCATTTCATACATATGAAGTACATATGAAATGCATAGTGAATATTTATAAGCAGTTGTGTTTTACTCTTGTGCCACAGAAGGTCAGGAACTGATGGAGTTTTGCAGTACTTGTTGCAGCACCCCATGATTTCAATTAAGTCATTGCACAAACACTGTGAACAGAAACCAGGTCTGTGGTTGACATGCTGTTCTTTCTCAAGTCATCAAGACTTTTTTTTTCTTTTTTCTAAATTTAGAGCCCTGAAGAAAAGCCAAATTGTACCCTATGAAAAGTACTACAAGGTGAGTGAGAGAGGCTCCTGGCTTCTGACTACTATAATTATAATGTGGACGGAACTGTGCCCTCATGCAGATGAATACAAAGTAGAACTTATAAATATTTTAGACTGAACTTTGACCAGAAATGCAGTGTGGGCTGTTCGCAATTGATATTCATATTTTAAATAATGCAAAAGATGGGCGTCGACGCCATTCTTAGCACAATGGTTCGGCCGCATGAACTGTACATTTTAAGTAACCAGCAGCGGCCTGGTTTCCCCATAGGCGTAATTATTTTAAAGATCATCGTAACTGTTCAGAGTTTCAAAGTAGTACCCTTTTCTGCCATAATACTCTGTTCCCTGTGCTTTGATTATTTTGGGGAAACGCTGAGAAACAAACCTTCCTGACAACCTTCCTGTCACCGTTCAGACTGTGGTGTGTTTTTGTATGATCATCAGTTTGAGGAATGAAGAACATACTATACGAGAAACACATCAGCTGAGCTTGTAAAGCAACTGTGACTCATTGTTCCTGTTAGTCAGGTGACCATACTGAGCCACTGGTTGTTCAACTTATCAGTCTTGTGATGGTCAAATTTCTTGTGGCTGTGATTGCATGTCATATGATTATTTCCCTATTCTTTTCTTTAGCTGGGAGATTTGGAGGAAAGCATCATGAATTCTTATGGAGTAACACCAAAAATTCAGTGCGTTCCAGGAAAGGTAGGAGTCGCAATTCAGTCCTAAACATGTTAAGTAGGACATATTAGGAGGTATTTTCTACTGAAAGCATAGGGGTGATGTATGTTGGACGCACTGGAGATATGCCCCCACCGCTTTTTGAGAATGTAGTCTGTAGAAAATCTTTCACATAATTGTGTACGAAAGACGAATTTCCGGACATTTCACTTGAAGACCATGCGGGGAACGTATCTTTAGCAATTCCTCATGGATCAGACTTGTATCTCACTCCCTCACGTTTAGCAGGCTGAAGGTTCTCTGCAAGGGGGCGCTATTAGTAGTTTTTGTGCGTCATTGAGATCATAAATGGCATATATCTGAATTAAAGGCCAAAAACCGAACTAAACATACATTATGTAAGAACACAGTTTTGTTTACAACCAGCTTGTTTAGATAGCTAACATGAAAATAATATTTAGAGTCTTGTTCAAGTTGTTTTGAAAGAACATTTCAAAATACCTGGATAAATATTAGGTATCCTTTCGCACTATCTATCCTGTATAAGGTTCCCTTTGGTGTAATTTTACAAGAACAGAAAATTTAAAAAGATAATTATTCTAGTCTTTTTTGTAGCATAAAGTACCACAAATGCCTGCCACAAAAATCACACAAGTTGTATCAAATACAGGTTCAATATGGACAAACCCAGCGTAATTTGTTTTAACCCTGTGTTGAGTTGATGGTTTTCACCCAGGGTGCTGGTTTGTGGGTTTTTACCCAGCTTAGTGGGTGAAAACAACTACATTGCAGGGTTACAGACAATCAGGCTTAGTTAATTATTTAAAAAAACTACAATTCAGAATTCTGGGACATTTAAATCGATACCATACGTGCACACAATTACACACATGCAAACTAACAATACCATATAAGTAAAAATCAGTTATTTGTAAGTTCAGAATAAAGTTTACAATAACAGTTGATCAGGGATTGTGTTTATGAGGACGATCAGGATTTTCTGGCCTAGTTTGTTAACTTCTGTGAACACTAAAATTAAAAAAATAAATTAGCAGTACACAACCACACCACAAATGCACCCTGACAAACAGTCAAACAGAGTCTTTTCATCAGGTTGTATGTTTACCGACAGTTTAGCCTTACAGCAAATACTAGCCAATAGCAATTAATTTATTCCACTGCTAAAGTTATTGTCTACATGAGTTAATATTTAATATTTTTAACTTAATATTCAGCTATAAATTCAGGTAAATATCGTATATTACCGACTATGATGGAAATAATCCAACATAAGACACTAACCACATGGCTGAACTGCCAAGAGAGTGACCCAACAGACTCAACCCAGCAGTTTTGATTTGAGTGTGTGATTTTTGTATATTTGGAAAAAATCATTTAAAAAAATCAACAGTCTACATCAGGACTAGTTTTGCAGGGCCAGACGTGAGCTTGTAACGAGACAACCATGAGAAGTTTTGGTCTAAATTTGGGTGTGAACAGACTTATTAAGGTGGGATCAACTGAGTGAAAAATTTCTAAACCAATCCAGTGTCTCCTTAACCCTTCAATGTCCTCACCAAGAAAAAAGAAATGGACTTTCATATTTTGTATTTTTTATTTGTTTGGTGCTTTTTTTTCGTTTTTTTTTTAACCCATAATTTTAAAAATATTCATGTCTACCAAACGGGTGAGATGTCACTTTGTGGCATATATAGTGACTCAAAATGTGCTCTACCAAATGGTTGAGCAGAACATTAAAGGGTTAAGGCAGAGCTCAAAGCAGAGAGGCATTGGTGTGCTTGGCAGCATAGTGATGAACAACAAGCCTGTCAGTAGCCCATTGATGTAATGGAAGTTAGCATCACTGAAAAGACCTCAGAAATAAACATTACCTCTTGCAAGGCAAAAACAGTGTGTTAGCTAACGATAGTGGTTTGCTAGCTAGCTGTTTTTTGCATGATATGAATTGAACTCTGGATGTTAAAAGAACACAGACCAGAGGTATTTGAGGGTGGATTTTAAAGAGGGTAAACTCTTGTAAGCAGCACGTGTGTGTGTGTGTGTGTGTGTGTGTGTATATATATATATATATATATATATATATATATATATATATATATATATATATATATATATACTGTCTTACTGGCTGTGCTGTTAATGTCACTGTTGATCGCTCTGGTATTGTTATTGTTACTGTTATTGCTGTTGCACACTGCAAAAAAACAGGAACAGAAAGTTCTGCCAGTGGTGAATATATTTCACCATGCTTATATATAATTTGTTTTCCAGGGAGGCCAGTTCCAGACCCTGGGACAGATAGAGATCTGCGTTGACAAGCAATTTCAGCTGACTAACTGTGAGAAGACCAGCGAGGAACTTCTGATCAGTGGCAACGAAGTTCTGCCGTTTGTCTCCCTCAGCCGCTCAGGATTCACAGTGTGTGACCCCTCTGTGCCAGTCTACTACCCTCCATTATCCGCTAAACACAAAGGCAGAGGCTTCTTTAAGGCTTAGAGGTTTGCAACACTCCACGTGTGCTAGGCCTGTGGTGCAATTGCTGTTGAAATTTTTAGAGCAGTTTGGCTTCGCTGTTTTCCTGTGCCTGTTGACCATTGCAGAGCAAACAGGGCTTTCTTCACTTGTTTTTACTAAAGTAATCAGGTTAATGCAATTTACACTGGGCATATGTTTTGTATGATTTACATGGTATATCACATGCATAAATTATATGCTGGAAGATCTGTTAAAACTTTAACGGGATCCCTGTTAATAACTCGTAACAGTTTGGCTAGTTGAGTGTAAATTGTACGTTAAACTCCTAAGCATTAAAGAACATTTAGAATATTTTTTAGAATATGTTGGAATGTATGTCATGGGATCATTAAATTACATAGCACAACAGATCAGCGTCTTTTGGGTACGGTGCAATACCTCTCTTTTTAAGGCTATTGGGTTTTGGGCTTGGTCGGTTTGTTAGCTTTTTTTGGATGTGAATGTTTACACTGTGTACTTCTTTCTCATTTGTCTTACTTTATGTTTCATTTGAGAAGCTAGTTGCTGTGTATTCTGACCACTAGGTGTCCAAATACAGTAAATGTGTGCATACAAGTTTTTAACACTAGGGGTCAGCACCTGCACTCTCAGTATCTCTTCAATAATCAGGTGTTGTGTTTCTGAAAGAGACAATGTGGTGGGGAAAGACATTTTAAGAAGTTAGAAAGTAAAATCTAAATTATACAACATTATCTGTCTTTTGATTAAATCTTTTGTGAGAATTACAGAACTACAGCATTTTTTAATGCACATTTTAATGGTTAAGAGGTGAAGAAAGTAATTCAAAGTGGTTTGGTGTGAAATGCTTCATTCTAGAGAGTCAGAATTGCTCACAGTGGTGGTGATAGGAACCAGACGTCCCCCTCTAAAAGCTCCCTCACAGAAAGTTACTACATGAAATAGTAATGAGTACATTTACTGATCACAATGCCTGCAATGTTGCTTTTACTAGTTTTGGATTACATTTATAATAAATTCAAAGTGTAATATTATACATTCATGGCAGAGAATGAATGTAGGTCAGTAAACTAGTACCTAAAGAAACATAATTATAAACATATTCATATTTACCATGATTTTACCATCATCTACATTACATGTATTAACTCAGATGTGTAGGTTCACTGGTGGTTTTAGGTAGTAAGTAAAATGGCTGTATTTGTGTTGTAGACACTGTGACCCCTGGTTCCTATCACCACCATTGTAAAGAAACCAGAGTCAGTAAGTTTCTCTGAACCATTTCACATCAAACCACTCTGAATAACTTTGTTTACATTTCAATGTTTGAATTATGCAGCAGTTTTGAAAGATCAGTGTAATTCTGCTTTAAGTCGAATTCTCCCGTGTCATTCTGTTGATATGGATGGACAAATCTCTCTCAGTTGATTTAAATGTAACCTGGGCATTTCATGTTCATGCTGTGTAAGTAAAAGTTAATGTCTGTATATTTCCATTTTAAAAGGCATTTCCAACACTCCCTGCTGTTTGTCTACTGTGTCAGGACTGGTACAGTGAGATGGTGGAGGTCTGTAGGGTTTAGATTTGGCCAGCGCTGCCAAACTGAAAGCAGCGTAAATCTCTAACTCAAAGACAGCCATTGTTTATCTCGGCCTTGTAGACAACTGTTAGATGTCAGAACAGTTTAGATTTAAATCATGCTCCTCTCTGCTGATGATGTCTTATCCCTGTTAATCCAGGGCTGTTTATTACTTGAAAATACTGATGGACGTTTTACTTTTTTAAATTGGGAATTAAATGATTGTAATGCATTGATTCAATTAAATAAAACATGAGCTTATTCAATATCAGTCGATTATTTATTTCATGTTTAATACACAGTAAGTTTGCATATCAGTTATTCATTTCAGCTATATAGTGCACGATTTCAGTTGGCCAGGTGGAAGAAAGTTGCTTTTAATGTTGCATTTACTAGAGCAAGTTAGGAAATAAATCGGGCCAATTCAACCAATTGTTTTACCAGGTTCTAATTATGGGAATTCAATTTGATTTCCAGTACCTCAACTACAAAAATATTATATATAATTAATTAGGGGTGGGAATCTTTAGGCACCTCACGATTCGGTTCGATTACGATTCAGAGGGCTGCGATGCGATTATAAAACGATTATCGATGCATCTCGATGCATCTTTTTTTTCTATACATGATTTCTATCTTCCTACTGTCTGAGGACTTGGTAGTTTTAAAACAAAGTATTTGTAATGATCCATAATGTTAAATGCATTACGGATCATTTTCGAGACTGGACGCTGAATCTCGGCTCCAAAGTGTGCAGCATAGCGCGAAAGCCCTGGTTCTCAACGACTGAGAACAGACAACAGATAGCATTTATAAGCAGGGCGGTTGGTTAAATCTGCAATGAGAGACTGTCTTTCTCTAAAAAGTTGCGAAAATGAACTCGCTTCTCTTTCGTATTTTCCCGTTCCACCTTAAATGGTGCAGCAGTTACATTCGGCGCCTAAGGCAGAATTTAAGGTGGAACGGGAAAATTAGAACGAGAAGCTGGCGAATGAGAAGCGACTTCAGCCTCGTAAAACAGCCGGACGCTGAGACATTTTACAAGAAACTCTTCTAGTTTTGAAGAAAGGTGTTCTGGCGGAGATGGGAGGAAAGCGGCTAAAGCTAAAGCTAAAGCAGAGCGAAGTAAATCTGCGCTCTCGTTTATATTTTTAGCCCATACTACGACATTAACACATACTGGACATTAAATGTTGTGGCTCCCGAGGTGGTTTGACTTCGTTGAAAGGCAAAATGGCTCTTCTGAACATTTGTGTTGTGACTCCTGATCTAACCTGGCTTTAATGCAGAGGGAGCCGGTCGGATTTCTCGCTCATCCAGTAGTGTTAACCGCCGCCACAGACTGTCCGGGCGCTGCACTTCCGCACTTCCAGTTCAGCCTTTTGCGTTCTGTCAACATTACGGTATAAATTAAATATTTAGAAAATCGATTTTTGACGTTGAATGAATCGATTCAGAATCGTTCACGTCCGCATTGCGATGCATCTAAGAATCGAGTTTTTCCCGCACCCCTATAATTAATTATACGTGTTAGCAGTTGTCTATATTCTTCAAAGCCACTAACTCAGGAGCTTCAGAAATCTTTCTCGCAAATACTTTAACTCAGTGACACAAAAAAAAATGATCAGTACATCCATAATTTGACATCATTTATTAATACCAAACAGCTTCTTGCTCATGTGTCTGCATGTTATGATTAGTACTATTCACAGGCATTTCTTATCTAAACTAAGACCTGTCTAATCATAGGTGGGGTCATATCTAAGCATAGTCAAATTATTTTGTGTGCAACAGTGAAAAATAATGAATATTACTTTCATTTTTGTCAGGACAAAATGGAATGAATTCTAAAGAAAACATAATAAAACGATATATAGAGGGATCCTTTGTCCATCCATCCATCCAACCGCTTATCCTTCTGGGTCGCGGTGGGGGCTCCTTTGTAAGATGTGGTATTTTCAAAATATACCATTCACTTGCTAGTCCATACAGTCCACATACAATGGTGCTTGAAAGTTTGTGAATCCTTTAGAATTTTCTATATTTTTGCATACATTTCACCTAAAACTTCAGATTTTCACATAAGTCCTAATAGTAGATAAAGAGAACCAAATTATACATATGATACAAAAATATTAGAGGCGTATAATAGTCCGCAAGGTCACAAAGGAACCTAAGGTAACTTCTAAGCAACTAAAGGCCTGTCTCACAGTGGCTAATGTTAATGTTCATGAAACCACCATTAGGAGAACACTAAACAACAGTGATGCTCTCCGCTGCTCTCCAAAAAGAACACTGCTGTCCATGTGCAGTTCGCTAAAGATCACATGGACAAGCCAGAAGGCTATTGGAACAATGTTTTGTGGACAAATAAGACCAACTTATATACTAGAATTATACCAGCAAATTCTAAACGAAAATATCAGGAAATCTGTCCGTGAGCTGAAATTCAACAGAACGTGGGTCATGCAGCAAGACAACGACCCTAAGCACACAAGTGCTTAGAGAATTGTTAAAGAAGAATAAACTAAATGTTTTTGAATGGCCAAGTCAAAGTCCTGACCTTAATCCTATAGAAATGTTGTGGAGTTGAGGCTGTTAAGAAGGAATGAGCTAAAATTGTGCAGGACTAATCAACACCAGATACTGAAAGGTTTACATACTTTTGCCACTCACAGATATATCATATTGGATCATATATGACCAAGTGTAATATTTTTATCTCATTTGTTTAATTTGATTCTCTGAATCTACCATTAGGAATTATGTGAAAATCTGATAATGTTTTAGGTCAAATGTGTGCAGAAATATAGAAAATTCTAAAGGGTTCACAAACTTTCAAGCACCACTGTATGCAAACTAAGCTGCAAAAACAGCCCATTTTGAATTCATTGTTTTTGTGATTTATATATATCCACCTATTCAGCCTACATTAGTTTAGACAAAAAACAACCTGTTTAGCCCCAAAAATGTCCAGGGCCCACCAGCAGGCCCAAAGTTTAATTACCCACTTCTATAAACTAAGTATAGCTCAGCCAGTTTGCATTGAAGTCCCTGTAGTTACTAAATAATATGCCTTAGTATGTAATAAGCCTGGGATTTTAACGGTAAAACTGAATTATGACTGTTTTTGGTACACAACCCATACAAAATGGCCCCTGGGGTCCTTGCTGCTTATAGCAAGAAACAGCCCTCATCATACCCGTGATGTCAGGGCTTTTTCAGTAAAGGCAGTCTGTAATGGAACCAAACTGGCCTTCACTGCTGGGCTCCTTTACTGCAGTGTCCTTGACTTGTGTCGTCAAGCTTCTAAGCATTCAGAGGATAGACAGAGTGCTTATTACTCCAGACACTGTGCTGTTTGTGCTCAGTGGAGCGTGCGCTGTATATGAGAGCACAATCTCCTGCAGTGTATACGTTCTTATTACACACTCTTAACCCAGCCTTGGGCTGCCACTAGCTGCAATACACAGCATGATCAATCTATATGTTGTATGTCTAAGTGTCGGCGTCCTGCAGCTGGTATTTATACATGCCTGTTTTTGAAGTACAACAACTGTCATCATTTAATTTATCACTGAGCTCCTGATTTTTGGTTTAATACCATTGTGTTATGAGAGGGACATACAGTTGTAAACAAAATTGGTGCCCTGGTCAAATGACCGCTTTTTATTTTCTAAGCAGAAGTTTGCATCCTTTACAGAGAACACATTTCTGTACATTTGAAGCACAATGCTCTTTATTTGCTAAATTTACCATATTGGGGGGAAAAAATAAAATGTGGCATAAAATATATAAAAGGCAGGGTGTATTTTATGTTTTGTTATGTTAAACTTAGCAAATAAATAGAAACTGTGCGCTAAAGTTTGCAGAAAAATGACACATTTAATGTTGTTCCCCGTAGAGGACGTACTCAGCAAAACGTAATTTGACCAGGGGTGTAATGACTGGGGAGAGGAGGCAGGATACATGTGTGAAGTGGCTTTATTATGGGCAATTCAACACTCGTAGTCAACACAACAGGCAGAAGTCAACACACATACAGACATACAGTGTAAAGACAGTAGAGCTCAATCTGAGTGTGTGCAATGACCACAAAGTGCCAAACAGTGTACATGTATGTTCTGGAGCGCTAAACATACATTTAAAGAATTCATTGGTAGTTAGGTTGCACAGATCTCTGACATTGCATCAAAAACAACTACACCAGCGAGTTCTGTGCCTCACCAACCACCAATCCCGTGCCTGGCGGAGCCCAATGCAGCATCTATGTGTGAATGGCTGTGGTGGAGACACCATGAGAGGGGGCACTCAAACTTTCTCATACAACTGTATTGTAATAAAACTGCATACTATTTTGTCAATGTTTTGCTGTCATGAGGTCAGTTTTGACATAAGCTGCCAGAGTGGACTGGATTTCACGTTTCACTAAGGTGTAGTGTATCAGGATGAAAAGTGATTTCTTGTGAAACACCTCGTTTCTTACCTTGTAGCTCCACCTCACTGGTATACAGTTAGAGAATGTAGCCCATCCATAGATGCACATCTCATGTTAGCCATGCTCTAGAAATCATTGGTCATTTTTTGTCAACTTGGCTGGACGTTTTTGGGTGGTGGACCACCCTAGCAGTGTCAGTCAAGTTTGCAAATGATGAACACCAATCAACACCTCACTGCAGCACTCCTCTTGTCTCCCAGCTCTAGGGTTGTTAGTAAGGCTATATTCTCTTTTTTCTTCCTTCAAATTCTGTTCAAAATATTGTGAGAATACTGAATCGTGAACCCAGCCTCATTAATCTAATCAAATGTTGGGCAAAGTGCATTGTTACAGTCACTGCTAGTGTCACTGCTGTGCTGAGAATGGTCATCACCAAAGTAATGAGATTAACAAACTGTAAATTGTCCACCTATATAGTGGACGTATGAGATAGAACATAAAGTGGCCACTGAGTGGAAGTACAAAGCAGGTGTTTCTAATAAAAGCTTTAGTTCACTGTTAAAGATAAATTCCACCATTTTTTTTATAAAATCCTACATAATTAAATGGTTAAGATGTAAACAAAATCATTCAGAGTGGTTTGGTGTGAAATGCCCTATTCTAGAGAAACATACCGAGTCAGAATTGTTCACAGTGGTGTTGATAGGAACCAGATGTCTGAAGAGTTTAATGCCTCTAAAAGCTCCCTCACAGAAAGTTATTACATGAAATGGTTATGTATACACTCCCAGATTCCTGAGACCCTGTTGTATAACAGTTTTGAGAAGGTT